ATAGTGGCTCACACCTGTAATCCTAGCACTCTGGGAGGCCGAGGCGGGTGGATCCTTTGAGCTCAGGAGTTCGAGACCAACCTGAGCAAGAGCAAGACCCCATCTCTACTAAAAAAAAAAATAGAAATTAGCTGGACAACTAAAAATATATAAAAAATTAGCTGGCCACGGTGGCGCATGCTGTAGTCCCAGCTACTCAGGAGGCTGAGGCGGAGAGTCGCTTTTGAGCCCAGGAGTTGAGGTTGCGGTGAGCTAGGCTGACGCCACGGCACTCTCTCTAGTCCCAGAACAGAGTGAGATTCTGTCTCAAAAGAGGAGGGAGAGGGGAGAGGAGAGGGGAGAGGAGAGGAGAGAGGAGGGGAAGGGAGAGGAGAGGGAGAGGGGAGAGAGGGAGGGGGAGGGGAGGAGGAGGAGGAGAGAGAGAGGAGAGGAGAGGAAGGAGAGGACGAGAGCACGGCAACCGAGAGGAGAGGAGAGGAGAGGAGAGGAGAGGAGAGGAGAGAGGAGAGGAGGAGACAGCTGACTGGAGCTCTTCTTCCGCTCAAGCCTTGCGTCTGTACCTCCTCAGGGACAGCTTCAACTGACTGCTAACCCCTTCTGTATATGGCCCATATTTTCTGTTTTTCTTGTTTTTTTGGTTGAAAACTGGACATTTAACATAATATAGTGTGGGAGCTCTGAAAACAAAATCCCTTTTTCTCTCCCAGGTTTTGTTGGTGGTGATGTTTGTTGTTATTGTTGCTGCATTTTAGTTAATAACTTTCTTGGATATTTTAAACGCTCTGTTGTTATGTGCTGCCTCTGAAGTCTCTGCTTGGTTAAACGATTTGCTCGGCTAACTACTGCACAGAGGTTGCTCCAAATACTTCCAGCCCGTTAGTTTCCTGCCCCTTGCCAACAGGCCTGTGTGTGTGTGTGTGTGTGTGTTGGGTGTGTCTTCTGTATCCCAGCAGGTGACTCACAGCTCCCCCTTGGCCTTGGCCTCGGTCCTGCCCCCAAGCACATCAGTCATCAAGTCTGGCTGGCCCTGGGCCTCTGCCTCAGCCAGAGATGAGAGTAGAACTTTCCCAGGGCTTCCTTGGGTGCAGCACAGGGCACTGAGCTGCAAACGGGATATGAGAGTTTTCGAAGCCCCCTGTGGTCATCTGATTCTCCTTTGAAGTATTTTGATCAGCCTTTTGTTTGTCCCAGCTAGCCACAATGTCAAACAATTGACATGGATTGTTTTTGACAAAAACCCTGGAGATGGGGTTTCCCAGGAACAGAGAGTTCAAATAGCAACACTTCTCTGGGATGGTACCTTTTGAGGGAGCATTAAGCCCATTCTTTCCTCTCCAGTGGCTGCTCGACTACTGGTTTTCAGGGCCACTGTAGTTCTAAGGCTTTTCAATGATTTTTTTTTCATTCTATTTTCCAATGGCCATAACATTACCATTTAAGACAGATTTGTTGGAAAAACTCTCACAGACATTGGCCTAGGTAAATAATTTATGAAGACCCCAAAGGCAATCACAGCAATAACAAAAATTAAAATAAACAGGACCCAATCAAATTAAAAAGCTTCTGAACAGCCAAGCAAACCATCATGAGAGCAAACAGACAACCTGCAGAAAAGGAGAAAATATTCGCATGCTAAACATCCAATAAAGGGCTGGTAACTAGAATCTATATAGAACTCAGGAAAATCAGCAAGAAAAAAAAATCACACAACCCTATCAAAAGTGGGCAAAGTACATGAACAGAAACGTTTCAAAAGAAGATAGACTAATGGCCAAGAAACTCATGAAAAAATGTTCTAATTATCTAATTATCTAAACATCTCTAATTATCAGGGAAATGCAAATCAAAATCACAATGAGATATCACTTATCTCCAGTGTGAATGGCCTTTATCAAAAAATCCCCAAACAATAAATGTTGGTGTGGATGTGGAGAAATAGGAATACTCGTACAGTGCTGGTGGGACTGCAAACTAGTACAACCTCTGTGGAAAGTAATATGGAGATAGCTCAAAGAGCTACAAGTAGAACTACCATTTGATCCAGCAATCCCATTACTGGGCATCTACCCAAAGGAACAAAAGACGTTCTATAAAAAAGACATCTGCACTAGGATGTTTATAGCAGTATAATTCAGAGTTGCAAAGATGTGGAAACAACCCAAGTACTCATCAATCCATGAGTGGATTAATAAAATGTGGTATATGTATACGATGGAGTTCTTCTACTCAGCCACAAAAAATAGTGGTGATCTAGCACCTCTTGTATTATCCTAGTTAGAGCTGGAGACCATTCTACTAAGTGAAGTGTCCCAAGAATGGAAAAACAAGCATTCCATGTACTCACCATGAAATTGGTATTAACTGATCAACACTTAGGTGCACATATAGTAGTAACATTCAGCGGGTGTCGGGCAGGTGGGAGTGGGGAGGAGGGGATGGGTATATTCACACCTAATGGGTGCAGTGCGCACTGTCTGCGGGACGGACACTCTTGAAGCTCTGACTCAGGTGGGACAAAGGCAATATATGTAACCTAAATATTTGTACCCCTGTAAGATGCTGTAATAAAAAATAAAATAATTTTTAAAAGATTTCTGCATTTGTTATGACTGACCTCTTTAGTAGATACTAGTTAAATCTCAAAGTTTTGGGGATTACTTTCTTGGGTTTTTCAGGTAGATAATCTTGTATCTGAAAATAACTTTCCTGGTAAAAATTCATAAGATTTTCCTTTAAACATTGTATTATTACCTAGGGTGTCCAGAACAACAACACATAAAGGCAGACTTCCTGGCTCTGCTTCTCACTTTTATGCCTCAGTTGTTTCTCAAATGATTATACTGTTGGCTTTTTGCCTCAATAGTACTCCTTCTTATGCTCGGTACCGTCTCTTGAGTCTTTATTAAAACATGTCAATAAGTATCTTTCTTTGAATGGAAACTTAAAACCAGTATGTTATTTACGGTCTGCTACACTTCACACACTTTATGCAACAGATATTTGGTTCAGAACAGGGGCACACCATCAGAAACAGACTTGAATAAAGCCCACATGATCTCTGTTTTGGGGAGTTTGCAGTTCAGGTAGCAAAATTCCAAATAAAACTAAATTGTAGGCTGGGCGCGCTGGCTCACACCTATAATTCTAGCACTCTGGGATGCCAAGGTAGGAGGATCACTCAAGGTCAGGAGTTCAAGACCAGCCTGAGCAAGAGTGAGACACCGTCTCTAGACGGGGTCTAAAATAGAAAGAAATTAATTGGCCAACTAAAAATATATAGAAAAGGAAATTAGCCAGGCATGGTGGCACATGCCAAGTAGTCCCAGCTACTTGGGAGGCTAAGGCAGAAGGATTGCTTGAGCCCAGGATTTGATGTGAGCTAGGCTGACGCCAAGGCACTCTAGCCCAGGCAATAGAGACTGTCTCAAAAAAAAAAAAAAATTATTATCATTTTTTTTTTTACAGAAAAGGGGTCTCACTATAAGCCAGGCGGGAGTGCAGCGAGATCATAGCTCACTGCAGCCCTGAACTTTGGGGCTGGAGCCATCCTCCTGCCTCAGCTTCCTGAGAACCGGGGACTATAGGTGTGTAGCACCATGCCCAGCTAGGGGTCTTATTTTTTGTAGAGATGGGGTCTTGCTATTTTGCCCAGGCCAGTCTGGAACTCCTGGCCTCAAGCGTCACTTGTTAAATCTAGCTGCTTTCCCACAGTGTTAGATTTTTAAGGTTTTTTAAAACGTAGGCCCGTCAAAGGCCTGCCCAGATGTGGCATGCAGAGGCATGATCCTCCCACCTTGGCCTCCCAAATTGCTGGGATCTCAGATGTGAGCCACCAGGTCCAGCCTTTGAGTTGCAATTATGTCACGTGTGATGAATGAAAGTAACACGGTGCTGGGAGGGCTCATAGGTACCTGAGGAAATCAGCTTCAGTCTGAGAAACGAAGGGACTGGACGCTAGTTGGGCGAGTTCTGGGAAGACACTGTGGCGTGGAGAAGGGAGGAGTGTGCACAGCCTTGGGGGCCAAGGACACGTGGCCGGGCATGGTAGGTGACGGCACAGGAGTGCCTTTGCTCTGGGAGCCCAGAGGGCAGCAGTGCATGAGTTTCAGTTTGTGTTCCCGGAAGACCCTCTGGCAGCTGTGTGGAAATAAGAGGTCGAGGGGGCTGAAGCTTGGAAACCAGAGTCCTGGAGGCCAGTGCTGAGGGGGACACACCGAGAGCTGGACACAGGACTCGCACCTGCCATGGGGAGGGAGGAGCTGCCGGTGCCAGATGCTGCCCAGGACGCAGAGCCATGGTGAGCCAGTCCTGAGCTCCATCTGTGCCTGTGACAGGCGGCACCCACAGTATTGAGAGAAAGCCAGAGAGAACAAGGCGAGACCAGAACCCAACCTGCGTTGCTGCCGTCCTGACAGTCTGGTAGAGGAGAAGACAGTGACTGGCCATGAGAAGGGCCCATGGTGTAGGACAGGACAGAGGGAGGCTCTGGTGTCCTGTTGCAGCGTGGGAAAGACAGGCGTCACTTGTTAAATCTAGCTGCTTTCCCACAGTGTTAGATTTTTAAGGTTTTTTAAAATGTAGGCCCGTCAAAGGCCTGCCCAGATGTGGCATGCAGAGGCAATTCCAGCGTCAGTAAGGACTGGGGCGCAGTGGGCCTTGGGACGTCCCCGCCAGCGTTTGTTCAAGTCTCAGCGGCTTCTGATTCGCGCCTCTCAGTGCTCTGGTGATAAAGGACGTTCAAAGTCTCTGCCTGTTCTACTCGTGACGACCCTACAGAAGAGACATTTTCAAAGCTCAGAGTCTTGTATGCTGTGCAGGGGAGAGTCGAGCTGAGACGGGGGACAAGGATGAGCATTAACACGACCGCCCTGGAGCGCTGCTCTGAAGAAGAAAGTGTCACAGACCGCAAGTGTGAATGGCGTACCGTGCCTACGCCCCAAATTATCTGGTCCCACACTAAAAATTTCATTTCAAAAGACGAAGGAAAAACAAATCACAAATGAGCTAACATAAAAGTTTTATTAAATAAATACATGCACTGTCATGTAAAATTAGTTAAGCAAAAAGGACATTTTGTAATTAAAAAATCCTCCGTTTGCTGCCGTCCCTTTGCAGTGGGCGATCCAGCTAGAATCAGAATTAATGGAGCAACCACAGAGTAAACGCAGCTATGCACGCTGATTGGCTTTTGGCTTAGGCTCTTGAAAAAAAAAAAAGCTTTATTCTCTTGACAGAGAACACATTCTTATAGCACAGAATACGAACTGTGGTCAGCGTCGCTACACATCTTCTGTTTGAATCTGGAACCTGGAAACACCTCCGTATTTTAAGGCACAGGATAGAAACCCACAGGCTGTACCCGCAGGTACAAGCCAACAGAGCTGCACTTCAAATCCACCTAAGTTAATCTTCCCTACAGTGGCTTGGCTCAAAGCAGGAAAGTTAAAGTTATCTTTTCCCAGATAAATCACTCATTAAGAACTAAAAATGAACATTGTGACACAACTCGAGTGTCTCCCATCACTGGGACCTTGAGTGCTAAGAGGGTGGCCTAAAGGTGGTTCTCAACGTCCCCGAGTTTCTGCAAAGTGCTTTTGAGCCTGGAAACCACCCCTTGCTCCCCCTCCTTTTAGAGAGTTTGGAGACAGCGCCCAGAGCCCCACAGGTGGGGCCCTTGTGTCAACCCTGGTGACGGCCCTCCCGGCGTCACTGCAGCGGGGGCTGCACACCGTGCTGCAGAACTGGCTCCTTTGGGGGCTGCACCCTCAGGGGCCTCTATGTTGCCTAACTGCTTAAACACAGCGTCCCACTAAGTAAAACACACATCGACCATATGAAGCATGTGGGTGCAGCCCCCAGATGTGTAGGCTGTTGGTAAAAATTACTGGCATGCTAAAATTTCAATGAGAATTTCTTCTCTCTTATAGGTTATGACATGCCTTTAACAGACCTACATTTTAAAAAACCATCAAAAAATCTAACACTGTGGAAAGCAGACAGATTTAACAAGTGACGCCAGTTTTTCTCACGCTGCATGACACAGTTTGACGATGTTTTGCGTGCACTCACGTTCGCGTGAGTGTGCTGACACGTCCGCAAGCCCCAGGATCACTGCAGTGGTTTAGCACGAGGCTCCAAAGTGTCCTTGAATGGGAGACAGTGAGATGACACTGCCCTTTGTGGTCACATGCAATGTACTGTGAAGCTGCAGACTCCATTACAAATAAACACACGGTTCAAAGCATAAGTTACAAACTGAAACAGAGTTAAACTCTGCCAGAAGAGAGGGGTGTGTGGCAACAGCCAGGTCTGCACAGGCACTTTGGTATGCTTGGTCGTGTGCGTTGTCCCCAAGCTGCCCAGGTGTGTGACAGGAGTTAGGTGGGAGCTTCAACTGCAATCACAAAGTTATGTTTTCCCCAACATATTTACACACAGCTTTAAGACATTCTCACGGCCCAGGAAGCCATCTCGTCACACAGCTCACACACTGAGACTGCTTCTGCATGTGCACGACATGCTCACAGACACGCTCGCCCGGGTGCTGTCATGGAGCCGGGCCTCAAGGGGGTGGGGATGGGGATTCAGGTATACGAAACATGCTTTTAATAATCTCAGCAGAAAAAGAAAAGATTCCAAAATAAAAACTATACAATAATATCCCAATATTACGGTTAATCATGACATGAAGTGAGGAAACCCGGTAGACGGCTGTTTAAAAGCAAGAGCTTCCCAGCTGGTCCTGGTGGGCCCACCAGGAGCAGCACCCCCTACACGATGTGACACCAGCACATGCGTGTGAACAAGCTTTCAGATCACACCACCCATCCACACTCGAGTTCTGACCTGTTCCATTTCCGAGCTGGGCCTGTCACCAGGGAGGTTGCCACAGTGATGCCAAACTGGGTGCAGACACCCTGTCGGCAAAGCGCTGAGTCCAGAGCCACCCCACCTCAGCCTGCGGAGCAGCCAGGGCTGGAGGTGCACAGTCCCAACGCAGTATCCTGTCTACTCATCCCGATCCACCTCACAAATCTACAGCGCGATGTGCACCTTCTCTCAACAGGCTGGGAAAACGCTGAAAATTAACCAAGCTCGTGACTATTTTACAATAGCCTCACTGCTAACACTGAAAGTCCATTCCTGTGTTTTAGGAAAAGTGTAACATATGTATCTGAGTACTATTTCATGGATGTTACAACAAAGCAATTAAAATAAACTTAAGACATTTCATTTTTATATAAGATTTTGCAGGTTAGTACACTATGATTTATGAACCTACATCAAATCTCTCAATATTTTATATTATTCAGCTATAAAACATTTTCCCTTATAAGCCCTTTAACTTATATCTCAATAATACATCTTTATATTTATGAAAATGTTAATATTCTGAATACTTCATCATTCGTAATTGGGCAGAAATATACTATTTAATAATCTTTCAGTTTTTCTTTTTAAAAAGAAACATCACAAAATAGGTCACTGAGAACTTTTTGCTGCAAAGATGAAAATGATTATTTGTCACAAGAATTTAATAAGTCTTAGAAGAAAATATATATTTCCTTGCTCTATTTTCTTCTGAAGTCAAACCAGCGTGTGGAGATTATAAAAAATAGAGTCTATTTACACGCAGAGTGTAACTCGGCAATACACAAAGCAAGGCAACAGCAAAGCAGCACGCAGATCCACTCCCTAACACACGACTGACGTGGAGCTGCACAGAACACGCCAACCACCACCTTACCGCCCATCCTGACCCCTGCTGGAATACCAGAGAAAATTCAACATATAAAATCTACTGATAATATTGGCCAAATCTGCCTAAAATATCAATACTTTTATAAAACTGTTAAGATATGTATAACTAAATACATGAAATTATAAAAATAGGATCGGTGCGCCTGTGGAGGGATGTGCTCCGTGTAGAGATGGGGGAGGATGCCTTGCGCCCGCGAGGCTACGTCACCACCTGTGGTCTCGTCCCGTCTTCTGTGAGGTCATACCTGCGGAAGCACAGGAGACAATGACAGGCATGGGATCTCCTGTGTGGCGTGTTACTGACACACGTCAGGGTTCACCCCTGTCTGTGGAAGGGACTCCCAGCAGGTCCAGGGGTGTGTTTTAGATGTGTATCCTGGCTTCTGTCTGTTTACTGACTGCTGAGTCTGTCTGTGGAAGGGACTCCCAGCGGGTCCAGGGGTGTGTTCTAGATGCATTTCGTGGCTTCTGTCTGTTTACTGACTGATTAGTCTGTCTGTGGAAAGGACTCCCAGTGGTTCCAAGGGGGTGTTTTAGATGCGTATCAGAGCTTTTGTCTGTTTAGTGACTACTAAGTCTGTCTGTGGAAGGGACACTCACCACTGGGTCCAACCTTTGGTGAGTTCTTCAGATGCCAGAGTAACCAATACCTGTGGGTTTAAAAAAAAGGTTGCTTGTTAAAGTCAGTTGAAGTAGTTCCGTATTGTATTGTATTGTATTGTATTGTATTGTATTGTATTGTATTGTATTGTATTGTATTTTTTTGAGACAGAGTCTCGCTTTGTTGCCCTGGCTAGAGTGAGTGACATGGCGTCAGCCTAGCTCACAGCAACCTCAAACTCCTGGGCTCAACCAATCCTGCCTCAGCCTCCCGAGTAGCTGGGACTACAGGCACGTGCCACCATGCCTGGCTAATTTTTTCTATATGTATTAGTTGGCCAATTAATTTATTTCTACTTATAGTAGAGACAGAGTCTTGCTCTTGTTCAGGCTGGTTTCGAACTCCTGACCTTCAGCAATCCACCGCCTCGGCCTCCCAGAGTGCTAGGATTACAGGCATGAGCACCTCGCCCAGCCAAGTAGTTCCTTTTAAATCTTTCACTACTTCCAATCTCTAACCTTCTGTCTCACTCTGTCTATATGGAATACTCCTTTTAGTAGAGGCTCATGTTTTCCATCTTCCCTACCCTCATGATTCAAGGTATCTAAGAGACCCTTCCCGTACCCAACAGTCCTGACGTCATTACACACCGTGGAGACAACTCACGGGGATGATGGCAGCACAGCTGACAGGGACAAAGTGACACTTACCTACGAAGTGCAAACACCACTTCTCTGACTTAACCTTTATGAGCATTATTAAGGAATGTATAATCACATGCAGAAGTTAAATGTGAACATGGACTAGTACTAGAAGAAATTCGGAGAAATGCAGCCAGTGATTTGTTAGAAAACAGAGTGATCGGTGGAGGACGTGGAGCTGTAGGAGGATGTTTTTCTTCATTGTGATATTCGAACAAAAATTTAAAGACTTAAAAATCACCTTCTCTTCGACTAGAAGTTCATGGTATTAGTATGATTACTACACCAATACTCTGAATATGTAAAAACAATGAAAATAATTTAAAATGTCTTTAGAACGTACTGAGGTCACACTTGGCTGCACTCACAGCCCACGATTTACAAACAAGCATCAGCACAAACTGCAGCCATTACCACGATGTGGGCGTGGGCTGAACCACTGCACTGAAGTAGGTGCTTAATTTTCACTAAGTGTGGGAGCCAATCAGGGATTTTTTTTTAAAAACTCACTTTGCCAAGAAGCCCTTTGTCTTTGGACAGGAAACCGCCGCTGTTCTTCACCGCGACGTCCAGCGTCCTCCTCTGCACCTCCGGCAGCGAGACACTGAAGTCAAAGCTGAAATGGGAGGCGAGGACCTTACTCAACTTTCCCTGCAATTCTGCTGTATTTTCTTACAACTAAAAACGACATTCCAGATGTTCCGTTTGTTTTTTACTATGGATTTGAGTCTTCCACCAGATGTTCTGATCTGGCATTTCGTGAAGACTTAAAAACCAAGTTATTTTCATCATTTCCCCAACATAAGAGAAGGCGCTGCCATCCCAGGCATGTCGGTGGCTCATGGATGGGTGAGGGGTGCTCTTTGGACACATATGTCCGACTCTCTGTGGGAGCTAGAACGTGGGGCATCATGTGACAAGACACCCAACTCCAGGGGATTTCACTCGTGCGGCCTCACGGTCACTCGCGCTCAGCAGTGGCGATCCCGCCACCTCCAGCAAGGGAATTATGTGCCTGCAGCTTCCCAGAAGGCCCCCAAGCACTTTTCAGAGGCTCAAGTCAGATGCTGCAAACCAACTGCCCACAGGGCCGGGTCCCAGTCCCCGTGTGTGACCTGCCCTGTCCCGACCGAGGGGCTCAGCCACCAGCAGAGGCTAGAGCAACTGTAAACCCAAATTGGCATGTGGACTCTCAGAATTTTTAAATGCTGTGGTTAAGTAAGAACATTTTGTTAAATAAAACACACCCACTTCAGGATTTGGTACATGCCTGCCATTATAATTGTGGGTGGTTTCTAAGCTACCACCGGACTATAAGATCTCAAATTTGTAGCAATCAGCAGCTTTTCTTTTTCTCCCGCTCTGTCACCCTGAGTAGAGAGCAGTGGCACAATCACAGCTCACTACAGCCTCCAACTCTTGGTCTCAAGCGATTCTCCTGCCTCAGCCTCTTGAGAAACTGAGACTACAGGCATGTGCCACCAGGCTCAGCTAATTAATAATTTTTTTTGTAGAGACAGGCTCTCATTACGTTGCCCAGGCTGGTCTCAAATTCCTGGGCTCAAGTGATCCTCCTGCCTCAGCCTCCCACATAGCTGGGACTACCGGCCTGCGCATGGGCCAGATTGGTGGCCCTTTGGGACGGTCTCATGCCACATCAGACTGACCAGGGAAGCAGATTCCAGCCTCTATTAGTCTAGACTACTAAAGAGATTTGCAAAAATATAGAACAATAACATTCTTTTCACTTGGTTTTTTCTATTGTTTTGGAAAACATAGTTGTTTTCACAAAAATGTTATATTTTAAAATGCTATGAGCTTACTATTGTTGTTTTAAAATACATGTATAAATTCTCAGTTTTAATTTATAGCATGATAAATATCAACAAATATAACCACCAAAAATGAGTTCTTTTGGGACATCAATAATTTGATCTTTATTTAATCACTAGTCTCCCTGTCCAGTGTTTTATAACTTGGATTTATTATGTTTAGCATGTCTACCTGAAGTTCAAAATGCTTATTTATTTTTATTTTTTTTTATTTATTTTTTTTGAGACAGGGTCTCACTCTGTTGCCCGGGCTAGAGTGCCGTGTCATCAGCCTATCTCACAGCAACCTCAAACTCCTGGGCTCAAGCAATCCTCCTGCCTCAGCCTCCCAGGCAGCTAGGACTACAGGCACGCACCACCATGCTTGGCTAATTTTTTCTGTTTTTAGTTGTTTGGCTAATTTCTTTCTATTTATAGTAGAGATAGCATCTCACTCTTGCTCAGGTTGGTCTCGGACTCCTGAGCTCAAGCAATTCTCCCACCTCGGTCTCCCAGAATGCTAGGATTACAAGTGTGAGTCACTGTGCCTGGCCTAAACTGCTTATTTATTTATCTTGACAAATACCATTTGCTGAAATTTGGTGGAGTTTTCCCCTGAACTTCTCGACAGCAAACCGATGTACATACTTCAGCTCTCCCAGGCATTGCCCAGGCCTTTCTGTCACTCCAGCCAAACAGGCAAGCCTCGGTGGGTAGAGCAGCATACCTTTGATCAAACACTGGATTTAACGTCTTCTTGGACACGTGTGTTTTCCTCCTCCCTGACCGCCTCTTGTCTGGCAATAAATACATGCGCACGTACGGGTCAGAGCCATCTTCAGAGAAGGCGATGAGATTTCTTACAACACAAACCAGAGACCACATATGAGAATTTAGGTAAACGAGAATTAGCAGCACATTCAAATTTACTTTATCAAGTTTTTGTTTTATCTAAAAACAGAGAAGCAACAAGATGATAGATGCCAAACCCCATGAAGTGTATTTTCGCATGCACCCCACGCTCACTTGGCAGCCTCCTTCTCAAACTGCTCTTCTAGCAGCTGTGCCAGAGGCAGCTTTTGCCTCCATCTCTGGAGCCCAGAATTTGGGGGACCTTCTACGTCCTTGCTCTCTGCTTCCCACAGTAACTATGGCTTCTTCTTTCCACAGTATGTCTAATGCCCTCTTCTAGTGTGAAACGTAAGTCAGCCACCTCCAGCCACCAACCTGCTCATGGACCCGTCACCTCCCTAAGCAGCCCACCCACTCTTTTCCCATGACAACCACCAGACACACACCTACGCCCAATTCTCCCTTATTGACTGACCCCAAATCAGGTTAGGGTCTTGTTTTCTTACACTCGCCTGAAATAGTCTTCTGTGCCTGCATATCCCTTGGTAATTGTCTTTTTTTTTTTTTTTTTTTTGAGACAGAGTCTCACTTTGTTGCCCAGGCTAGAGTGAGTGCCATGGCATCAGTGAGTGCCATGGCATCACCGCAAACTCGAACTCCTGGGCTCAAGCGATCCTCCTGCCTCAGCCTCCCCAGTAGCTGGGACTACAGGCATGCACCACCATGCCCGGCTAATTTTTTCTATATATATTAGTTGACCAATTAATTTCTTTCTATTTATAGTAGAGATGGGGTCTCGCTCTTGCTCAGGCTGGTTTTGAACTCCTGACTTCGAGCTATCCACCCGTCTCGGCCTTCCAGAGTGCTGGGATTACAGGCATGAGCCACCACGCCCAGCCTGGTAATTGTCTTAGTAGCAACAACATATAAGGTTCTCAATATTTATTGAATTGAACCCTACATTTACATAACATTTTTTTTTCTTTTGAGACAGGGTCTTACTCTGTCTCCCAGGCTAGCATTATCATGCAGTGGTGTCATCATAGCTCTCTGTAGCCTGGAACTCCTGGGCTCAAGTGATCCCCCTGCCTTAGCTTTCCAAGTAGCTGGGACTACAAGCACATGCCACCACACCCGGCTAATTTTTCTATTTTTTTTGTAGAGACAGGGTCTTGCTGTATTGCTCAGTTGGTGTCCAACTTCTGGCCTCAAATGATCTTCCCACCTTGACCTCCCCAAGTGCTGGCATTATAGGTGTAAGCCACCACGCCTGGCCTACATTTAGATAGTTATATAATTTATATAATTTTATTTCTAAATGTCACTAATTTTATTTTCTTATGTTTCCATCAGCTTTTTATAAGGTCTAAATTTGTATATCATTTTTTTTTCCTTTTTCCTTTCAAACTCATGAAAACAACATATTGCTATATTACCAGGACAGACAAAATCACATGAAAGAAAAATAATTAGTAAGACCACACCATCATCATTAATCAAATCCAAAGTGAAGCAACATTGTAATCTCACCTTATACTTATGAAAATAGTATAATGCACAATTTAAAATAAATTTTTTCCTGATTATGGGGAAAAACGGTATGTGTGCATACCTGGGGTGTCGATGTGAACTGGGGTACTCTTTTTTGAAAGACTATGGCCATACCTATCATTAGCCCATGAACTCCTTCCATCTTTTGAACTGATAAACCTACTCCTGGAAATTTAATACTAAAAAATACTTCAATAAAAGAAAAACATGCTCATTATCATGTAATGTAGTCCAGACAAATTAATTACAGTATAGCAGCACAAGGGAGTATTATAAAACAGCTAAAATGGTCATAAGACAATGTTAAGAACAAAAAGGGAATAAAAAATTATATAATGGGATTATAATAATAGAAAATACAGGCCTGTAGAGAGGGACTAGACTACAATGCAAAGCATGACAAACAAGCATGTCCATGTCTGTGTGCACACATGCAGACGTGTGCACACTTGTGCGGGTGGTGGAATTACAGGAGGTCTTCTCAGAACCGCCTTCACTGCTGTGAGTTTGGTTTTCTCATCATACATGTGCCTATCTCGGTCTCAGCTTTCTGTGAGACAGACTGCACTCGCTGTCTCCTGGGATCCAAGCAGAACTGTACTTTCTCAACACCCTGGAGCTTTTTATACACGTTTCTAAATGTTAAAAAAAACTAGGAAAGTTGTTCTTCAGTTTGCTCATGTTTCTCTGGGGAGGGAATGGTAAACTAATGGAAATCAAACGCCTCCCAAACCCTCAAATCCTAAGCAGGACAGTTCTCATGTGCAAAACACATCCATTTTATGCTTTTGGTATGCTTTCTCATAAGAGATTATATTTATACTCAGTATGGTACTAAAAGACACAGACAATGGAAAACTAGTTACCTTTTCCTTAATGACGGGACACGTTGTGGGAAACCCATCATGAAGCGATTTTTGTCATTGTGCAAACACTGCAGAGAGCACTCGCACACACCAGACAGCACAACCCACTATATACCTGCTACACACCTCAGCTGTGCAGTGTGACCTGTTGCTCCTACACTTGCACACACCCAGAAGGCACAGCCATCTACACCACTCAGCTGTGCGGCATGACCTGTTGCTCCTACACTTGCACACACCCAGAAGGCACAGCCTGCTACACACCTCAGCTGTGTGGTGTGGCCTGTTGCTTCTACACTCACACACACCAGATGGCACAGCCCACTACACACCTCAGCTGTGTGGTGTGGCCTGTTGCTTCTACACTCACACACACCAGATGGCACAGCCCGCTACACACCTCAGCTGTGTGGTGTGGCCTGTTGCTTCTACACTCACACACACCAGATGGCACAGCCTGCTACACACCTCAGCTGTGTGGTGTGGCCTGTTGCTTCTACACTCACATACACCAGATGGCACAGGCCATTATATACCTCAGCTGTGTGGTGTGGCCTGTTGCTCCTACACTCACACACACCAGATGGCACAGGCCATTATATACCTCAGCTGTGTGGTGTGGCCTGTTGCTCCTACACTCACACACACAAGATGGCACAGGCCACTACGCACCTGCTACACATCTGGGCTATAAACATGCGCAGCGTGTTACTGTACTAAATACTGTAGACAAGTGGAACACAATGGTAAGTAGACATAGGAAAGGTGGACTAAACATGTAGTTTAAAATCCTAAGGGACCATGATGGCACATGTGGCCCAGTGTTGGCAGTATACTGCCTGCACTGACAGCTTTTACTACTTACAGAAGGTCTAACTGCTTTGTCCTTATAAACGACACATACACTGATCTGCTCGGGGACTGCCACCCTATGTAACGTTTACACGCAGCAACAGCAGAGGGTGGCCTGTGGCTGGGCCCACCTGCAGGCGTGCACGACCACGATGAGCTTGTTCCTCTGGGAGCTGTGCCGGATGGTCAGCTGGATCTGCCCCAGCGGAGACTGCCCCAGCGTGGTCCCACTGTGGAAACAGCAGAAGGTTACTAGCTCTCCTGAGACTATAAAACAGTTGTGATTCATTGGTATACTGTACACAGTAAGAAAATTTCCATTCATTCAGACAAAAAGAAATAAAATTACCCACATACTTAAACATAATTTGGACTTATGAGTGCAAGTGACCAGTTGAATTTGTATCTCCCTTGAGGGTTGAATACAACTTAATTGTTTGAAACTGATAGGTTTTCAAAACAAGGTTTTCAATAGGTTTTCAACAGGTTTCAAATACGAGACACAGAGGTTTCCTTATTACAGACATCAATTCTGTGGTCTTTGCTAAGCAGGTTCTACCCTGTAGCCACCCAAATCTGTGTCCCTTCGCAAGGCCTCCCTCCACTCTCCACTCGCCCGGGCAGGCTGCAGCAGTCTCTCCTCCAGCTGCTCTCTGCCGGGCCCAGGCACAGCCCGAGATCGTACATCCTTCTCAAACTGAGCTCCTGAGAAAAAGGGGTTCTTTGCTTAAAATTCTTGTTTTCTTTAGAGCAAGAGAGAAGGGAGGGACTGATTTCTTTTTCCAAGGCAGCACACCTGACCAAGTACAGAGGTGACAGTCAGTGTGGATCACAGGGGCGTGCAGAGGCCCTGGTCCGCCTGCCCTTTCCGGGGCTCAGAAGCAGGTTTTCGCGGTTGCCTCTGTTCCTTTCCTATTTTCGTATCACTCAACACAGCTCTTGTAACAACAAACAGGAAAAACTGTTTCAAAGGTCACTTTTATTCCTCCACCAAGAGCAAAAGGTTGACATGTGAAGCTTGGGATAATTGTGGACTATTTTTTCCTCCTACAGAGACGATTAACACCCCTATGAGTCACGGGGCTTAAGTGAGGAATCTGCACAAACATCCAGAGACTGACAATCCGGCTGACAACTCGTGAGCGGACAGAGTGGCCGCCCTCCTCTCTGAGGCCTGTCTCGCGGTAGGAGGCCAGGGCACAGCAGAGCAGGCTGCTAGATTCCCTCTTTCTTGTCCAGGAAACCTACGTTCACCGTCATTTTAGAACCTTTAAATGATTAGGTCTTAGAAAAGGGCAGGTTTTACTTTGAAAGTCAAAGACTCAGTGAGCAAAACAGCAATGAGACCTGAAGTTCTCCCAGCTAACTCAAGGCTACGCCCCTCCTCTGACCGCAGGGTCCCTGTGACGGTGCCACCCACTGTGCTAAGGACAAGGCGACACCCCTCCTGACCGCGGGCTCTCTGTGGTAGTGCCCCCCATTGTGCTAAGGACAGGGCGGCGCCAGAGGGTAGTTACTTCTCCAGCTGTCTCAGCCGCTGCCGCAGTTCCTGGGTGGCGATGGGCAGCGAGATGTCCGAGGCTATGCTGGGGGTGGGCTCCTTGGCCAAGGCGTGGCTGGGGGACGCCAGGAGGCTGGAGCAGCTCCGGCCCAGGTCTCGAGGCCCTTGAGGGCTGGCCTCGGGTGGCTGGGCTCTCTCTTCCACACCCGGCTTGTCGCTGCCCCCGGGGGCCGGCGTAGACTGGGCTGTGCTGCTGCTGCCGCCAGGGCCGGGAGATGCAGACGGCTGAGATTTGACAGAGATCTTCCTCCCTTCTTTGGAAACAGAGGGTCGTTTCACTTGAGCTGAGTGCTGGTGGTCTGGAAGCCTCTCTTGCTTTTCAAGATGGAGTACCTGGAGGCGGAAATAAACATAAATACTAGGAATGTTGACACTGGTCACATCCTGATACTTGAACAGCTTGAGATGCATTCATTTGTAGACTATTAAGACGAGCCTCAAAACATTAAAAGAAAATGTAGTCTACCTGTCCAGCTACTCAATTATTAAAGTAATAGCATATCACAAAAAGTTCAGAAAAAAAAAAAGTTTAAGTAGCCAAAATATCACTTCTGTATAACAAACATCATTTCTTTCTGGGGGTGCGTAGAGTCTCCCTCTGTCACCCTGGATGGAGTGCAGTGGCGTCATCACAGCTCATTGCAGCCTCGAACCCCTGGGATCAGGTGATCTTCCTGCCCTGGCCTCCTATGTAGTGGGGGCCGCAACTATGAGCCACCATGCATGGCTAAACACCACTTCTGCATATTCTTCCACTTTCTTCCATTTGCACATGTTTCTACACAACTCTGGGCGATGTTTTTACTGCAAGAGCCCCGAGTCACATGCCTTCCACAGAAGAGCAAACCCTTTATTCTATACCAGTGGTTTCCACAGGGAGTGCTGGAGAAAGGAAGAAGGTCCAGAGCCCTATTCCCCAGCAAGATTACCCCAACAACCAAGTGTGAGTGTGCAGAGGCAAGGCAGACACCTGGGTCACGTATCTTTCAGCCACGAGAGCAGGTGAGCTGGCCGTGGGCTTGTTCATTCTACACAACGCTGCACTGAGCAGCCTATGCTGGGTAAATCCCACCAGGTGACTGTGATGCCCAGAGTGCATCACTGTTCCTATGAAGCAAAGCTGCAGTGACATCACTCGTGTCCATGCTTCCTGTGTTTTGCATTATCGTCCACAGCAGGTTTCTGCAGCTTGGGAGTGCAGCAGTTCTCCCTGGAAAGGCTACACCTGCACCCACGCCTCAGCCGGGGCAGGGAGTCCATTGCACTGACAGACCAAGTCAGTTCTAATTTTTTTTCTTAAGTTGGCTTTTCATTTTAATTTGCATTTTTTTGATGAGTGAGTTTTAGTATTTCCTCCTATGTATGCCGGTTTTATTTTCAACACTTCCTTAGGTATTTACAAATGCACTATGGTCTGTTTTGGACAAAAAGTTTCTTCTGTAAGTTCTACCCTGTTGTAGAGTTTCATTAGATTCTCTCCCCTGAACGACCTTGGAAAATTTAACTTTAGGAGAAAACTTTGTTGATGCGGACAGTCATGCTTCCCGGGCCACGGGGTAAAACAGTGGTTGGCTAATTCACGTGAGGTGCAGTGAGCACTCTGGGGCTCGCTCACGCAGTCTGGAAACACAGCTCTGCTCTGTCTTTGTACCGCCTTCGTCACCCCTGTGAGCCCAGCAAGAGGGTTTCTCCCCCAAAAAGCGCCTCCCCCATGCTGGTGCCTCGGCACCTCGGTCCTCCCATCTGCCCGGTGCTGGGCCCATGAGTATCGCTGCCGGCGATGTCCTTCCCACCCCGCTGTGTTTACGGGGAAGACAGTGGCTACCCTGAGTGCGATCTTCATTTTGATGGTGCTGTTGGGACCCGAGTTGCTGAGGTGGAACCGCTGGTTCAGGGTCATGTCCTCGCTGGCCAGCAGCTGGCTGAGGGGGACCCGCAGGTTGCCCAGGGAGCACTGGTGCTGCTCGTCTCTGACCTGCGGGACACAGGGCACAGAGAGAGGTCAGCAAAGTTAGTCTCTAAAAAACGTGTCTCAAAAAAACCCCAAACATATTTCGTCCATGTTCTTTTAAATGATTAACATAAATGATTAACATAGTATGAAAGCTCCTTAGAAAGACATGAACCATCGTATAGGGCAAAATACCTGTCGCGTGTGTTTGCCCTCTCCTCGTTACAAAATTGTAACGACCACAGCAGTAGCAGGATGCTGTACCACCCTGCTGTGAGACCCTTCTCAGATGTGACAGCCACACACATCTGACAATAGAGTGTCCCCTAACCTGAGGAGATGACAGCAACACACGTGTTTATCAGTGACATTTATGGAGAAAGTACATTTCTAGGGATTTTTTTAAGACTTCCCTATCCAAAATCTACATGTTTTAAAAAGAATTCAAAATATCTGCTTTAAATGCATGGTAATTTCTTTTTCCTGAATAATGACCTTTAGTACTACCTGTGCAATAGGAATTAGTCCCCTTAAACTACCTTAATACAAAAGAGTTTAACCAAATACAGTGAGAACTATACAAAAATGGTCCGATAAATTAACACATAACTATGCGGGAAAACTTAAAAGTCTGATTGCTTTTTCTTTTTAAACTACAATCTCAAAAGCACTTTTAAATTAATAACTCTGACAATGTTTACAGAACTTTAAAAGTTCTTTTCTAAAATCCAAATCTAGTAAGTATAGGTTATTTTAAGAATATGGTGGTACACGCCGGGTGCAGTGGCTCACGCCTGTAATCCTAGCACTCTGGGAGGCCGAGGCAGGTGGATCACACAAGGTCAGGAGTTCAAGACCAGCCTGAGCAAGAGTGAGACCCCGTCTCTCCTAAAAATAGAAAGAAGTTAATTGGCCAACTAAAATTATGTAGAAAAAATTAGCCAGGCATGGAGGTGCATGCCTGTAGTCCCAGCTACTCAGGAGGCTGAGACAGGAGGATTGCTTGAGCCCAGGAGTTTGAGGTTGCTGTGAGCTAGGCTGACTCGACGACACTCTAACCCAGGCAACAGAGTGAGACTGTGTCTCAAAAAGAAAGAATATAGTGGTGCAATTTATGCAGGGTAATTAGCTAGACAAAATAAAATCATTTTTGGCCAGAGGGCATGGCACATGCCTGAAATCCCAGCTCTTTGGGAGCCCATAGCAAGAGGACTGCTTGAGGCCAGAAGTTTCAGACCAGTCTCAGCAACACAGCGAGACTCCATCTCTACAAAAAATTTTAAAAAATTAGCTGGGTGTGGTGGTGCACACTTGTAGTTACAGCTACTTGGGAGGCTGAGGCAGGAGGATTGTTTGAGCCCAAGAGTTGGAGGCTGCAGGGAGCTGTGAGACACCACTGCACTCCAGCCTGGGTGACACAGTGAGACCCTGTCTCTTTTTTTTTTTGAGACAGAGTCTCGCTTTGTTGCCCAGGCTAGAGTGAGTGCCGTGGTGTCAGCCTAGCTCACAGCAACCTCAAACTCCTGGGCTCAAGCAATCCTTCTGCCTCAGCCTCCCGAGTAGCTGGGACTACAGGCATGTGCCATCATGCCTGGCTAATTTTTTCTGTATATATTAGTTGGCCAATTAATTTCTTTCTATTTATAAGTAGAGATGGAGGTCTCGCTTTTTGCTCAGGCTGGTTTCGAACTCCTGACCTCGAGCAATCTGTCTGCCTCAGCCTCCCAGAGTGCTAGGATTACAGGCATGAGCCACTGCGCCCGGCTGAGACCCTGTCTCTTAAAAAAAAAATTAAAATAAAATAAAACAAAATAATTTTGTACAACACAAAATGAAAGAACAAACACAGAATAGTAGAACAAGGCCAAGCGAGCCAGGCGTGGCTGTTCACACACCTATTAATGGAGGTTCAAGGTGCATGAGGCAAAAACGGAGACTGAGGAGGGAAAAAGATAAATTTCCAACTATAGGCAGAGATTCAAATACCAGGCTCTTAATACCTGACATACAAGTGGGTTTAGAGGCCTGAGCAAGGCCAACAGCCGCCATCACTAACGTCACATGGCCCCACCACTCATGGGTGCACACGGGCACACGTCAGGCAGACGATACTCCCAGTGCAAAAGGGCTCGAGTCACACAAAACATGCACTCTGACCGCCACAGTACGAAATGATAACCAATAACAGAAGATCTGTAACAAATCCCCAAGCACTTGGAAACTAAACAGAGGATCTTGAAAAAAATAACTCGTGGGTCAAACAAGTCAAACTTCGTGAGGTGTGGCTAAAGCAGAACTTAAAGCAAATTAAACATCTGTATTATAAAAGAAGAAATGTCTCAAGCTTCTACTTTAAGAAATTAGGAAAAGAGAAACAGAACTCTACGTAGGCAGAAATGAAATAACAATAATCATAGTAGAAATCAACGAAATAAAGCGAAAAGCAATAATGATAATGACACCAAAAGCGGGTTCTTTGAGAAAATAAAATCAATAAGCCTCTTGTAGGGTTGCTCAGGAGGAAAGGAAAGAAGACAGAAATCACCACCTCTGGGGCAAAGAGAGGGGCCATCCCAACAGGACATTAAAGGGACCTTGAAGGAATGTTATGAATAACCTTAGGCCAAAAAGATTCCAGCAGATGAAGTCAGTGAATTCCTTGAAAGGTATAAATACCAAACATCATCAAGAAGAAACACATACCCTGCACAGCTGTATCTATTGATGGAATGAATTTGTATTTAAACACTTTCTAAAAAGAAAACTTTAGGCCCAGGTAGCTCCACTGGTGTATTATACCAAATATGTGAGGAAAAAAATACCAATTCTACACAAACTCTTCCAGAAAACTAAAGAGATGGGGAGATGCCAACACCTTCATGACGCATTACCCTCATACCAAAGCTAGAAAAAGACATTATAAGAAAACAAAATCACAGACCAATATATCCTTCATGACCAAGATTTAAAAACTCTTAAAAATTTCAGCAAACTGAACAGTAGGTAGAAAGGATACTGTTCTAGGACCAGGTGGGGCTTATTCTCAAATAAAGATTTGCTTGAGGGTTTCAAACATTAAACCCTGAAAGCCAAACATAGGTTTGCAAGGTTTAAATCTGAAAATTAACCATATTATTTCGCCATATTTAAGACTTGAAAAGAAAAACAACATGATGTCTTAATAGATGTAGAAAAGCCTTTAATGAAATCCAGCAGCCGTTCGTGGTAAAAACTCTCAGCAAACCGGTGACAGGGGAGAAGAACTTTCTCCACCAAACAGAAGGTGTCTCAGGACATCCAACCACACCGGGCTCAGCGGGGAATGCCGGGGTCGGTGGGTGGCAGTGCGTCCACCCACACCCCCTCTGCCGGCGCACAGGCCTGGCCAGGAGAAGGAAGGGAAGACGTCTGGATTGGAAACGAAGAGGTTGAGGCATCACTTTAACAGGCAACATGATTTCTACTTTGTAGAAAATACTAAGGTATCTACAAAAATGCTACTAGAACCAAAGAGCAAGCTTAGCAGGGTTGTATAAGATGACATCAATACAAAAAATGCAACTGCATTTCTGTATGTAGTAATAACAAAAATTGGAAGTTAGAAAAATTACCATTCACGACATCATCAAAAAGCATTAAACACCTAGGAATAAGTTTGACAAAGATAGATGTACAATATCTGTGCAGTACATTAAAAACTACAAACACTGCTAGCCGGGTGCGGTTGCTCACGCATGTAATCCTAGCACTTTGGGAGGCTGAGGCTGAGGCGAGAGGATCGTTCAAGGTCAGGAGTTCGAGACCAGCCTGAGCAAGAGCGAGACCCCATCTATACTAAAAATAGAAAACAAATTAATTGGCCAACTAAAAATATATAGAAAAAATCAGCCGAGCATAGTGGCACATGCCTGTAGTCCTAGCTACTCAGGAGGCTGAGGCAGGTGGATTGCTTGAGCCCAGGAGTTTGAGGTTGCTGTGAGCTAGGCAGATGCCAGGGCACTCTAGCCCAGGCAAGAGAAGTGAGACTCTGTCTCAAAATAAATAAAACACTGCTAAGAAAAAGAATAACTAAAGAAATGGAGAGATACAATGTTTCTATAGGCTGGAAGAGCCTGTGTTGTTGCTAAGACATCCACTCTACCCACTTCATCTGCAGTTTCAATGCAATTCTTATCAAAATTCTAGCAGATTTTCTGCAGGACGTGGCAAACTGATACTGAAATTCATATGGAAATGCAGACTTAGAATAGTCAAAACAATTTTAAAAAATAACACATGTGAGGGCTTAAGTTATTTGCTTTTTTTTTTTTTTTTTTTTTTTTTGAGACAGAGTCTCGCTTTGTTGCCCAGGCTAGAGTGAGTGCCGTGGCGTCAGCCTAGCTCACAGCAACCTCAAACTCCTGGGCTCGAGTGATCCTTCTGCCTCAGCCTCCCGGGTAGCTGGGACTACAGGCATGTGCCACCATGCCCGGCTAATTTTTTATATATATATCAGTTGGCCAATTAATTTCTTTCTATTTATAGTAGAGACGGGGTCTTGCTCTTGCTCAGGCTGGTTTTGAACTCCTGACCTTGAGCAATCCGCCCGCCTCGGCCTCCCAAGAGCTAGGATTACAGGCGTGAGCCACAGCGCCCGGCCAAGTTATTTGCTTTTAAGATGTATTTATAAAGCACTAGTAATAAAGACAGTGTAGTATTGGCACAAAGAGAAACATACAGAACAATGGAACAGAAGGGATTCCAGAAATAGACCCCCCTATATGACCAACTGACTGTCCACAAAGTTGCCAAGGTAATAAAAGGGGGCACAGAATAATTTTTCAGTGAAAACTGTCGAACTGTATGACTGTATATAAAAAAATGAATCACAGCCTTTACCTTAGATTATAAATGAAAAGGAACTCAATATGGATCCCAGACCTACACGTAAGGTCAAAACTACAAAACCTCCAGAAATCAACAGTGACCTAAGGGTTGGCAAATGCTTCTTAACCAGGACACAATGAGCACAGACTAAAATGAAAACAGTGACAAACTGGACTTCATAAAATTTTAAAACTTCTGCTCTTGGCCGGGTGTGGTGGCACACGCCTATAACCTCAGCACTCTGGGAGGCCAAGGTAGGAGCATCACTTGAGGTCAGGAGTTTAAGACCAGTCTGAACAAGAGCCAGACCCCATCTCTACTAAAAATAGAAAAATTAGCTTGGCATGGTGGTACATGCCTGTACTTGGGAGGCTGAGGCAGGAGGATTGCTTGAGCCCAGGAGTTGGAGGTTGCTGTGAGCTAGGCTGACGCCACGGCACTCTAGCCTAGACAACAGAGCGAGACTCTGTTTCAAAAAAATAAAAAAGTAAAAAAAAATAAAACTTCTGCTCTTCAAAGGACACTGTTATAATAATGTAAAACCAAGCCACAGATTAAGAGAAAATATCTGCAAAACATCTATCCAAAATGCTCTTGTTTCTAAAATATATTTATTATAATTCACTATTAAGAAGACAAATAACCCAAGCAAAAAACGGGCAAAGGAGCCCAATGGACACCCACAGAAGGTGGGCAGCTGGCAAACACACACACAAAAAGATGCCCGCATCACTCGGAAGCACACGGAAGACACCATGAGACAGCACCACCCTCCCTCCCACAGCTGCGCCCGCAGGATGTGGCGAGAGGGCAGCTGTCACACCTGATGGCCGGCGTATAAATGGTGTGATCACGCTGGAAAAAAATCTGGCAGTTTACTGAGAAGTTAAACACGCACCTACAAACTGTCCCAGGCATTTGCCTATGGAAACGAAGGTGTGTCCATACAAAGGCTCACGTGTGAATATTCGTAGCAGATTTATTGCAATGGGTCTGACCTGGAAAGAACCCAACCTTTTATCAATCTTCTATTGCCAGGTGAATGGATAGGCCAACCATGGCATGTGTACACCTGGAATCCTACCTGGCAATAGAACAGGACAAACTGAGTATCCACCACAACACAGATGAACCTCAAAATAACTGTCACAAAGGAACAGACACGAAGGGTGCGTACCGTGTGATTCTGTTTACATACAGTTCGGGAACATGGGACCAGTCACCTCCAGGAAGAAACGGACCTGTGCTTTGCCAGGGGAGGCGCGAGTCACAGAGCGAGCATGGGAAACTCGGGGAGGGATGACAGTTAACTATCCAGACTCTGGTGATGGGTCCTCGCGTGTACACACAGGACACATCCCATCGAACTGTACTCCTTAAAACTGTGCAGCATGTCTCAATTATATTTCAAAAAACAGGCTAAAAAATGCAAATAAAATACCTCAATTTCAAGGTCCTGGCGCTTGGGATTGTGAATGAAGAAAGTGAAGTTTTCCTCCCACACAGGTTCATTGGTTTTGTACCGAATCTGGAAGAAATATCCAAATATTAGTTCTGCGATACTTTCTGTGGAAAGGGCTGCCAATGCTGTGCTTACTCATTTATTATGTTTGGAAGCTTAGGATGATTTTTCTTTTTAAGAGTCAGGGTCTCGCTCTGTCGCCAGGCTGGAGCGCAGTGGTCACCACGGCTCCCTGCAGCCTCGGCTCCTGGACTCCAGCCACCCTCCCGTCTCCGCCTCCCAAAGTGCTGGCATTATAGGCATGAGCCGCCGTGCCTGGCTAGGATGACTTTAATTAAACTTCAAGGCATGTGCTTTTGAGTATGTACTATTACATATTAATTGTGGAAAGTGCTCAAAAGATGGAGAGACGATCCAAAGCCTTCAGAGTGTGTCAGGGATGTTGACTGCTATGAAACCTGACCTGTGTGCCCAATGAGGAGAGATTTCCTCTGCGCGGCCTGGCCTTCACTCTGCCAGCTCCTCAGTGCCTGGGGCAGCACAGCACATGTGCTTCTTACGTTGTTAACAAAGAAAAGTGAATAATGGCCTATAACTCTGCATAAGTTTTTTTTCTTTTTTTTTGAGACAGAGTCTCACTGTGTAGCCCAGGCTGGAGTGCCGTGACGTCAGCCTAGATCACTGCAACCTCAAACTCCTGGGCTCAGGCAATCCTCCTGCCTCAGCCTCCTGAGAAGCTAGGACTATAGGCATGCGCCACCATGCCCGGCTAATTTTTTCTATTTTTAGTAGAGACAAGGTCTCACTCTTGATCAGGCTGGTCTCAAACTCCTGAGCTCAAAGGATCCTCTAGCCTCGGCCTCCCAGAGTGCTAGGATTACAGGCGTCAGCCACTGCACCAGGCCAAACTTCTAAAATATTTTCTCTCCTATCAGGAAGTAGAACATGCTATAACAATAGTAATACCCTCTTTCAATTCTTGAACCCAGCTGTATTGTTGAAATGTAAGCAATGCTGGTTAACTTTTAAGCAAAATGTTTATAGAGTACTCAAAAGAAACTTAGGAATTCACCCATGTATCTACCCATGAAATTAAGCAAAAGCATTTTCATGTATTATTTTCTAATGTTATTTGTTACTGAATCAAGGAGATGGTTTTCCATCAAATGACTAATTTATGAGATATAAAGATGTGAAGAGCCACGGTGCCGACACCCACATGATCACACAGCATGAGCCGACCAACTGCAGCGGCCTCCCACCAAGCCTGGCAACAGCGACTCACGAGGGTAGGAACAGCAGCAGAAAGTAGTTGAAATGCTGGCACCTTACCTTGCTCTCTTGAGCCTTGTGCCCAACGGACATCTGGACAAGAGGATTTGGGTTGCTGTTTATTTTCTTCCCTGACTATCCAGAAATAAACAAAAAACCAGATGAAATAAATAAACACATTTTGAAACAGGTCTTACTAAAAATGAAATTATTGGCTTATATTAGTAGTCATTTTTGTTAATCTCTGATACTTCAGATACAGGGAACATCTAGTCATAATTTAACTGGAAAAAATGGCTAAGCACACCCTGAACCATGACTATATGTACCAAGCAATAAATTAAGAAAACTTCCATTTGCACACAGTTTTTAAATATTAAGGTCTTTTATTTTTAAAGCAAGCTACTTTGGGAAAATTGAATCTTATGGACATCTTCAATGTTAATCACAGTCGATAAAAAGTTATTTATTTTATTTACTAGGATAGCAAAAATGAATAAAGAACAGTGAATGGAAACCAAAAACCACAAGAAAATAAAAATGTAAAAGAATGTATAATTTAGAATAGTCCTCTGATTGGACAAGAAAATACTACAAAGTGTCAGATACATGGTTTTACATTCTTAACTTAGTATCTTCTGTTCAAGCAAATATAGCTACCAGATACTGAATTTTTCTTACAAGCTGCTAAGTAATTTTGACTAGAAAAATAAACATCAATTTAGAATCACATTAATCATTAAATTAAGAAGGTAAAAATGCAATGAAAAAATTCAGGAATAGGAAAAACAGTCAGAAGCATACTTCACCATACACAGTTGATAGAAGAAAACATAGCAAAACACAACATATATGTGACATGAGGTTTATTTATAACTTAGCCCCACGAGAAGATGCAGTTAAATATCTGTGTTAGTAGAAATTAATCAGACGGTCACAAAAAATGATTTTAGTTAAATAACATGAGTCAATCCTCAACACTGCAGCACTGACAGAAATAGGGGTCAAAATCATGATTACTGAAAAAAATATTACTAGCCAAAACCTACTGCGATAATCTATTTTCTAGTCATCTTTATTGATGTGAATGAATTCTGCAAAATGAAATAAATACTGTTAAAAAAATTTTTCAAGGCTATAGACCACTGTGGCAGAGAATACCAATTTCCCCCCAAATCCATTTTCTCCTTCTTCCTTTAATGATAGAATCCTCTAGTTCAGCTGAATACCAAGCCCTGTGAATAAGGATTCTGTTTCCAAACTTCTCGTGCAGTGAGGCGTGGCCAGACACCCAGTTCTGGTTGTAAGGGCAGGTGTGCCCTGCTCCCCGCGGCCAGGGCTCTGCTGCTTTTGAGTCAGTTCCATTACTACAGGTGCAGCAGCTGAGCTTGCTTCTTCACTAATATAAATATCTCATCCCTGAAAAAGTGGCCAGTTGTTTTTAGACATGTACTGTATTTTATAAATTTTAAGACATATATTTTCCTCTACTTTCTAACATCTCTGAAAGTAGGATAAAAGAAACGATGACATTATATACTGGCTTTTGGGCAGTTTGAGGTAGTGAGATAGTTGTCATTGCCTTAACCAATTTATTTTGCTTATATTTTCCTTTTAGGTATGTGAGTGACATGACAAAACTCTGTTTATCATAAGTCTAGAAATTTTTTAGTAAGTATAAAAGAACTACTATCAAAACTCAACTGGCATTTCAAAATCTTTCTTTTTTTATGTTTTTATTTTAGCGTATTATGGGGGTACAAGTGTTAAGGTTACGTATATTGCCCATGCCCCTTAAAAATCTTTCTTAGTGGCACAAAAATAATAGTGTATTTTAAAATGGACATTTTAGATTCTATGAAATAAACTTAAATCACTGAGTTTTCTACCATGACACAATATTCAAATGCATCAAAGATACAAAATATATAAAAATATAAACTTTTAAGTCAGACTGTCTTGAAATTAAGTTTCAGCCAGACCTATATATTTTATCTATCTGACCTCAGTTTTTATGTTTATAAAATGGGCACAACACCATTTTTAGAACCTTGTTTTTAGGCTTAAGTAAGCTAATGCAATAATGCAAGAATTATAATACATTCTATTCTAGCTACACTGAGTACTTTATGCAGTATTCTAATTTAGTCAATAATTCAGTGAAGAGATATTACTTCCATTCTATAAATAACAAAACAGAATGGATTAAATATCTTGCTGAGCAGTGGTGCTACAATTCAAATCCAGCCTGGCTCCAGAGCCTTTGTCCCTAACATTAGGCTCTGTTGGTCAGTGACTTCAGATAGGGAAGAAACGGGAGAGGAGAGAGGGCTGACGTAGTTCCTCTCACGGCCTCACAGACACAGCGATTTCAGCCACCGTGCTAACTAGCGCTCGGGAGCAGGCCTTGCTAAATCACATCTTGCGTCCTCAACTCAGGACATAGCCAACGGCACACTGAATGGGAGACTTGGCCAGTCTCCTCCACTTCTGAAAACTATTTTTCAAGGTGAAACTGGTTAAAAAACACTCTTGTTTCTTTGGGATAGAATTTTCTTAAGCCAATTACATTTAAAATTTCCTGCCTCCCTCTAAATTTAAGCCCAAATTTAAGCCTAAAATGTTCAAAGAAATTAGAGAAAAAAAAATAAAACATTATAAGTCACAGAAACCTTTAACAATTTGGCCAGAGAACATGTTAATGTCATGTTTTAGGGAGTGGAGCTTAGTTTTCAATATACCTCATTTAATGGCATTTAAAGCTTCTCAAAAGATCTGTCACCCAACCCTACAGCACCCAAAGCCATGAGGTTGTTAACTCAGAGATGATCCTAACACAACATATTGGAAGAGCTGATTTTTTAAAATGTATATACACAGTTCAAAAGGCATACCATTAAGTCATAATCTAAAAATGGGTTAAGATTTTGAACATTACTTCTAAATCACCATTTTCACAAATCACCATTTTCAAATCCAGTTAAAATACAGATATTTAAAACACCTGAGATAGTTGCCTAAGGCCAAGAGGAAAGTAATCTAACTTATCATATTGGTTGGTACTTTATAAAATGTACCTTCAAAATGAATTAAATTCCTCTAACTACTAATTCTTAGGTAACAAAAGCAGGTTCTCTTTCACTTGGCAATTAATTGCTATATTAGCACGGGAGATGATTTGCCAATAAAGTTATGAGACCTAAAGTATCAACTCTTTCAATATGTTTTGATTGACCTTGTGACCTGAAGGGAAAACTATTAGTTTACCTTTAAAGCTCTCTGAACTGCAGTCTTCTTCAAGACATCGGGGTTAAATTCTAATGGGTTACTCTTTCAAGTCAGAAGAAAATGAATATACCGAGGGTTAATAAAACATGCAATGAGGAGTTTATGTAAGGTTAATGACATGAACATTTATGGGAATAAACAAACAAAATCTTTAAACAAAAACCACTAAGAATTACACAAACAACCAAAAAGCCATCTGCAAAATTCTCCCTTATGCCCAAGACCTTGTCTTAGAGTGAACCTTTGATCTATAAATATCAAACGCACCTCCTCCTCACCCTGCATAATCAGTATTCTTCTATACCCCCACCCTCTTGTCCTTTGTGATTTGAAAAATACAACAGTGAGACTTTAGGAAAGGGTTCTACTGTTATTCTTTTCTGAATAAACTCCTAAAATATCAACTGTAATTAAAGGTTCTATCTGAAGTACAAATTGATGGGCTGTGGCTGCTCAAATTGCTCTCCAGCCAAATCGTACCCTGGAGTAGCAGGTGCCACTTTTGTTCCTGAGACTGACATCTCTCATGTGGCACTGTAGCAGGGACAAAGTGCAGACGGGCCAGACCACTTCCAAAGCTCTCCTCCCTTCAGATAAAGTTTTGTTATTATGCGTTTTATTAGTATGTTCTACTTTTAATGATTTTCCCCCCAATTCTTTACTTTCTCACCCTCAAAAGGGCCAGATTGAGTTGTTTTGCAAGCTCCTAGGACTAACATTTAAGATTTTATCATATAGTTGTAATTAACTTCAAATTTCAAGTTGGACTTAATTATTATTTATTTTTTCAATTAAACAGCAGATTTCATAATGAAGCAAGATGGATAATTAGCCTCCCAGTCGTCTACAACTAGCAGTCCGGCCTAGAGAGAAGATCAAGTACCTGGCCAGGCAGGAAGTCACGCCCCAGTTGCAGATTAAAGCAGAGCTTCAAAGGCGACATCCACTTCTGGGTGGAGCCTGGATGTCCCAGGTGACAGTGACACAGAGAATGTGGCTGGGAACCACCACCCTGAAGCATGAGGACTGACATCCTCAGACATTGTAAGAACCTTTCCTGAAGCTCACTTTTGGATAGATATGGCCTGTGTTAAGTATGCTCATTGTTCTAACATGCATCGAAGTGAATGAAACGGGGCGAGAGGTTGTGGCGTGGGGCTGGGTGTGCAGCAGGGGCCTCGTGAGGTCATGGGGGGGCCGCACGGCCCGGGTGAGACAGACGCACCATGCAAATGGCCAGGCAGGCACCCGGCTGGGAGGCCTCTGGAGTTACACACCTTGCACCCTTGGGCTCCTCACCAGCAGAGGAGGCAGAATAGCCTCCTGTACTTTTTTTAAAAATGAGAGCCAAAATGCACAAAGTGCCTCCTGTCGTCACACCTAAGGGTCTCCACAGTGGGGGCCTTGTGTAGCTGGCACTGCTGTGCCTAAAGCAGGCATTCCTGTGACCGCTGCTCCTCTCAGATGCACTCCACGCACAGAACTGAGAACCTACGGAGTTAACGACGTGGGACAGACCTACTGCGTGCAAGGCTGGGGTGGGCAGGAGGGACCGCCCCGCTGAGCTTTCATCCCTGCCCTGCCGCCCTGATCCCAGGACCTTGACCTCTAGCCTCAATCATTTTTGCTCTCTGAATCATCTCAGTTAGTTTCTCATCTGCAAAATGGTGACAAGGTATGCAGACAGCCCTCAGAGCCCTGCCTGGCTGACGAAGGGCTCGATGACTGCGCTAAGCCTAAGGCTCTCAAGCTGGCCAGGAGTCAGAGCACATCCTCACTGGTCAAGCTCAGAACTGAAGCCCAGAATTTGATCAAAAGGGCAAAGCTCTGAGAGTCTACATGATAAGTAGGTCATTTCCAGCACAGAGAAATTCTTGTTTAGGGTTTCAGATGGGGATTGCTGGTGGCAATGCTCCCATGGAGCTGAACATCAGTGTCAGAGTGGATGGGAGGTAAGGGGTGGAAGTTGGCAGACCCAGGGCCTCACTAGTGCTGGCAATGGAGTTGGCTTCACACTGAAAACCAGTGGGCAAAAAAAGACTGTTCAAATTTATTTGATGAATATTTTATGTGATACATGTATATACATATTTTAAGTCTTGCTCTGTTGCCCAGGCTGGTCTCAAACTCCTGGTCTCAATCAACCTTCCTGCCTCTGGCTCCCAAAGATCTGGGACTGCAGGCGTGAGTCCCTGTGCCTGGCTATGCATATATTCTAACAACGGACCACAGGATGAGATGGTGACAGTGCAGGACAGCTGACAAAGATACCTCAGCAATGTCACAGGCTAAATATTACAAAGCAATTAATAAAATCTTGGTCACAAATATTTCTTTTCTGCAAAAGGAAGCAGTTGTAGGATGAGAAAAAGCAACCTTGAAAAGCTACTGGAGACAGACTAACAGAATTTACATGGCAGAGCTGTCTTGTCATTTATAGAATTTTATAATGAAACTTTCTGCTAATGCCAGAAGCAGAAAATCATTTCTTAAAAGTGATACAATATGTTGCCATTATGCACCACTGACCTCTTTTGACTTCCAAAAAGTTCTTAACCAGCTGTGAGCAGAGCCAGAGAGTAAGTGCAAGCAAGTGTGCTTGCACTTACTATTGGGGTACCTCAAACAGCTCACCTAACACTTCAGGGTCTTGATTTTCCTTATCTATAAAATGGGGCAAAATACTTATTATTCAAGTTTGCTCTCTACTCTTCCTTTTTTTTTTCTTTTTTTTTTGAGACAGAGTCTCACTTTGTTGCCTAGGATAGAGTGAGTGCCACGGCGTCAGCCTAGCTCACAGCAACCTCAAACTCCTGGGCTCAAGCAATCCTGCTGCCTCAGCCTCCCGAGTAGCTGGGACTACAGGCATGAGCCACCATGCCGAGATAATTTTTTCTATATATATTAGTTGGCTAATTAATTTCTTTCTATTTATAGTAGAGACAGGGTCTTTACTCTTGCTCAGGCTGGTTTCAAACTCCTGGCCTTGAGCAATCCTCCCGCCTCAGCCTCCCAGAGTCCTAGGATTACAGGCATGAGCCACCGGGGCCCAGCCCCTTTTTTTTAATAAGAATAAAATGAGAATATGTATGGAAATCCTTTGGAAATAGAAATGAAAATTCTACAAAGTCCAAAGCACTTTCACTGTTAGATTCAAGGGATAATGGACTTTAAGAATCTAACTAATTTTGAATTAAATCTGAAGAATGACTGTCTAAGCCACTGGTGGCTTTCTATGTCCCTAAACCAAGTGACAATAGCCATCTACTAAAAGTACCAAGAACAGTGCCAGGAATCAAGATGCCAGACATAAAGGCCATGGGAAACAGATAAAATGAGATCAAAACCAAAAATGCTCTCCTATCTACTCCAGGAAATTCTTCAAATTCCTTAAAAGAAGCTGAATCCTAGACTCAGTATAGTTTTCTTCTCCCCTAGGAGCTGTGGTTAAGCCATGTGGGGTAAGGCAGATTTTCGTGATAAAGTGGGTGAATGTCTAACTTCATGTGACCAGCCTGGGGACTGAGAGGGGACCAGACAGCAGGGGTCTTAAAGGAAGCCCGAGTTCTGACACTCCTGCACTTGGTCTGGAGGAGAAAGAAGATTTAAGAAAGTTTTGTGAAAGTTCATAAAGAAATATTTACATCTCACATTGGGACAAAAGATAAGGAAATCAATTCTAATCATTATGACTTCATTTCTTCCCCAGAAGAATTTTTACTATTATTTTTTGTTAAGGGCCAGTGCGGTTTAGGCATCTAACTAAGGCTTCTCCACGGGCCAGGTTTTGGCCATCTCTGTGAGATGCTCGCACCAATGTTACAGCGGAGTCACGTTTCACAAAACAAGCACAAAGTAAACACACGGAAACCGCACCATGCAGCAGAACAGGAGAGCATGCCACACCATTCCAGCGCTGAGCAGACCGCGCTCGGGTCCAGGCCACAACAAAGAAGAAATAATCCCGGAGGACTCACAAATAGTGCTCTATAGACTGAGGCAGTATTTTCACAAAACACTAGTCCCGACGCGCGCCTCTCTTTTAAGTAGCCACACCCAAAGTTTCCCTCGTAGATACTCTTGGGAGAGTGGAGCCGGGAGGAGAGAGCAGAGAATGGTGGATTGTGATCAGTGCGCACCAGGGGCACCAGCAAGCAGGCGCAGGGCAGAGGAGAGAATCCCACGCCACGCAGGGGCGGGCAGCAGCCCCATTGAGACACCCCACAGGGCCGTGGCCGTGAAGATCCTGGCCTCTGTCGGCCACAGTGTGCTTCATGCAGGTGTCCTTCCAACAGATGATCACACAGTCACGTTTGTTTACGTGCCATTACTCAAGCTTCGGTTTAAGGTGACAACAGACACAGTTCTAAAGAGATGTAACCCTTTCTTGCTGATTGATCAATACTATTCTCTACATCCTATTGTATACCACAAATTTACTTCCATCAGGCATTATCAAAGACGTTCTAACATACATTAATGTGACTGAAAGCAAAAAGTTCTACTTCATGAGAAATTCTGTAGAAAGGTTAAATAATGAAATAACTTTTTCCAAATTGAAATTATACGAGTAAAGTCACAGACTTTATAAGGTAATACTTTAAGAGAAATGTAAGAATTTAAGAAGTAAAAATCAATCAAGAAACCTTCATTGAAAGAAAGAGTACAACTATACATTTTATACATTATTTTATACATAATTATACATTTTGAAATGATCAATCATACTTTAATTCTTAAGTTAGAATGTACTGATGCACAAAGTACATTGAGTTCTTTTTTTGTTTTTTTTTTAAGACAGAGTCTCACTTCGTTGCCCAGGCTAGAGTGAGTGCCATGGTATCAGCCTAGCTCACAGCAACCTCAATCTCCTGGGCTCAAGCAATCCTCCTGTCTCAGCCTCCTGAGTAGCTGGGACTACAGGCATGCACCACTATGCCTGCTAATTTTTTTCTATATATATTAGTTGGCCAATTAATTTCTTTCTATTTATAGTAGAGATAGGGTCTCGCTCTTGCTCAGGCTGGTTTCGAACTCCTGACCTCGAGCAATCTGTCCGCCTCAGCCTCCCAGAGTGCTGGGATTACAGGCGTGAGCCACCGCGCCCGGCCACTGAGTTCAAAGCCCAAGTAAAGGCACAGTTTTCAAAACTTGGAAGGTGCTAATTGAAACAAGGTGTATAATCCATGAACTACACGGAAACATTTTAACCATGGCAAGGCAAGACTATGCTGGATGGAACATTTATAACTAAAATCTAGTGTTGAAAATGCCAACTTAAATGGTCCTCTCTCCCCAGTAAGCACTGACGGAGGGAGAAAAGATGCAGGAAGGGAGTTAGCTGTTACAACAAGTGACCTGGGTCACTTGTGACAGACACCTGCTACGCAGGGAAAAGTCCGCAATGCAGTCCTGGGAGGGACACCTACACCTGGTGGCACTGGTCTTTCTTTCAACAAAACTGGCAGGAAAGAAAGACTGACCACGTGGTCAACCAGCATATGGGCACTCAAACAACTGTCAAACAGCGTAACGTTAACGATGATGACATTACCCCAGATCATGGGATTCACAGCATGACAGTGGAATATGAGGAAGTGTGCCTCACAGGACTGAATTAACAAGACTCTCCTTCTCCACAGTTATATTACAGTTATTACCTATAAAACTGTGTTTTACAGTTTTCCCTAAGAACAATGCTGATGCATATGCTTTCAGGCTGAGGACCATCAAGTGTTTTGCAGTAGATATTCAGAGACATTGTTTGGTTTTGCTCTGCTGGAAACACCCTGGCACTGCAGGCCGGTGCGCTGTCCAGCACCGCGCAGCCATCTGACGCCAGGGGCCTTCCAGGGCAGCAGCCCAGACACTGCCGTGCCATCGTCAGAGCTATGTAATTTTACTTCAATTGCAAACAGAGACAGTCTCCATCTTTAGGTGACTAAGTTATAATATTTAGTGATTTTCCACAGAGTATTTTCTCCCCTAAATACCAGTCATCTTCTTTTCCTACATATTGGATATTTGTAAAACGGGTCAGATAATTCTGAATAACCCAGGCAAATCCAGGAAGGCATGTGAGCACAAAGCAGCACTAACTCGTCCCTCTTCACTGCCGTGCTCTGGCATGGAAAGTGACATGGAAACACAGCGAGGCGAGAACAGGTAACACAACCTGGCTGAACAAAGTGGGGTTCCCCAGCAAGACCTGCGCATAGGAAATAAGCACCCAAGTGAGTTACCATAGTGTTACCTACCGGAAGGTTCCTTGCGGAATCCAAATACAAGATCAGCAATGCAGAGGACAGACCATCATTGGCCTGGTCTTTGTCTGCCCTGATGTCTGTGAGCACCTGTGGGGAGAGGGTGGCCTCAGCAGGCGGTTTCCAAGAGTGAGGACTGTCTCTACCTGCCACTATTATGACAGCTATGCTCGAGAAAAGACAGGTGGGAAATAAACCACCCAATGCATGCAGGAGAGAGAACCAAAACAGTAAGTAACTTTTACACAGTAAGCCCACTATTCCACACAAATCGATTTCCTGAAGCACTTGGGTGACGTGTGGCTCTCCCAATCCCTGTGCCACAGCAAGCACAAAACCCGAAGCTCTCATCGACCAGGTGTGAATGATGCGTAAATTTCATTTTAAAAAATTCCCTCATCTCTAACCTATCCTTGATGGTACTTTCATGACTTGTGGTGCAATAATCAGAATTGTTACTATAATCTGCAAAAAATTAAGTAGCAACATGACTGAAAGAGATCAATCTCAGTTGCCAGCAGGCCTAGTTATCAAGGAGACCCTGCACACACCTTGTCAAGGTTGGATGCGTTTGGCATCAACGTGAGCCACTCCAGTCTCAGGTGCAGCTTTCCTTTGGGGACCTCGTCCAGAGCGAACCACTGAAGAGAAAACATGAAAGTTCAGCAAAATCCTTCCAAATCAAACCCAGTCTCTACACGTATCACATGATGCTCATGAACTGTGAGGCATCGGTAGTTCTCAGTTAACACAGGAGACTAAATCTTGCCACACTTACTTAGCTCTACGCTCTTTGCATGCCCCGTGACCTCATGCCCAAAGATGACGATGCTGACAGCAGAGGTCATGTGACCGTTAAGTGCTTTGCATACACCAGCCTGCTTAACCCCGACACAAACCCTGCACACTACGTACTGCTACCACCCACCCTTACACCTAGGGATTCCGGTGGTTTCTAGCACCACCCAGCACTAGGAAAGACTGCTACCTATGGACCTTAATGGAATTTATAGGCCAAGAAATGCTACAACATTGATTCCCAACGCTGAATTTCAGTATAAATAGGTTAACATATTTGTCTTTATTCGTCACTATATACCCATTAATAAAATAGGACATGGTTGTGTCAGCTTAAACACCACAAAACGTTAATCAAAGACGGCCCTGAAACCCTCAAGGTTATTAAAGAGCGTGACGAGGCCAAAGGAGGACTGTCTCTCTGCCCACTGTATGCAGAGAGACGTGTCATTCTGAAAGCAGGAACTTAACATTGGACTTGGTTAATTACGCTTCAACTTATTTAAATCTTACTCTTTTAGAAGCCTCCACAAACTTTCCCCTTTTCATACTTTTTACTCTGATGGTAATAAAATGCTTGGAGTAGTGTCTTCTTGCTGTGAACTCCCACTGCATTTATATACACCTTCCAGGGGACAAGTCTCACTGGTCACGCCATGACACCTCTTCTGTTAACTCGTCTCTGCCCTGACCCCTGCCGGGAGCACGCTTGCCTCCGATGCAGTCAGTGCTGTGTTCGCATCCACATGGCATGCACTCAGGACACACTTTCTGATTTGACTCTTAAATTTATTTCTTTTTACTTTGCTATTTCTTAAGGGCCTCGATTCTCAGTATTTGTGAGTTAGACGTTGCTCGTCCCGTGTTATCAGGACTCCTGCACTGGGGTGACAGCGGTGGCTCACTCCCCTCTGGCACAGCAGGTTACTGAGGCATCAAACAGACTGACATGTGGAGAAACTTACTTCGTCTAAAAGGCGCTCCTTTTCAACTTCAATAAGATCAATCATAAGACTGTAAAAACAACAACACAACTTTAGAACACAGAAACACATTTCTTACAGCTGAAATAACTTTAAGCATTTGTTTATGAAAAAGTACTTCAGAAACGTTCTTCTGAAATCTTCCTCCAGTTTTGTCCTAGGAGTGTCAGGAGAGGTAAGGAAGGGGAGGGTGTGGTTTCTGTGAGGTTGGAATCCCAAGTTTGGCCCAGCTGAGGTTAGATTGTGAATAAAAGCCTCCCCCAGAATACCACTAGCACCCTTGCTTTACGGTCTCCCTTGGTGCTGTCATCACTACTACGCAGTCGTTCGCCTCCTCGGTCCTGCCTCGCTCCTTCCACCTCGCACTGCACCGAGCCCCAGAGAAGCCCCTCACTCTGCACATGGAAGAGGAAGCCCTCTCAATCCCCTCGATGAGCCTGCTCTACTTTGAAGAATGGTGCCCCACGTGCATGAGGCCAGGAAGGACTGAGGCGGGATGGTCACACTCCTCCGGCTCTGCGGTCTGCTTCAGTGTGGCCCTCGTATCACGGGCCTGGTCTGTGGCCACAGTCTCCAAGCTCAAACCAACAATCTGGTGTGCATGCTGGTTTTACCAGCATGCACATCTGACCAGGCCACTGTCCTGCTTAGAATCTGTCCGTCGTTCCTGGCTACCTCAGGAAGAATGAACTCTGAAGTCAGGGCATAACATGCAAGGCCATTCTTGATGAGGCATAGACCTCTCCAATGCCATCTATCCCTGTACCTTTTTTGTTACAAAAAATTCAGTTTAAATAATAAAGTTAAATAAAGCCAGGGTCGCTGGCTCACGCCTGTAATCCTAGCACTCTGGGAGGCCAAGGCGGGCGGCTCGCTCAAGGTCAGGAGTTCAAAACCAGCCTGAGCAAGAGAGAGAGAGACACTGTCTACACTAAACATAGAAAGAAATTAATTGGCCAACTAAAAATATATAGAAAAAATTAGCTGGGTGTGGTGGTGCATGCCTATAGTCCCAGCTACTAAGGAGGCTGAGGCAGAAGGATTGCTTGAGACCCTGAGTTTAAGGTTGCTATGAGCTAGGCTGATGCCACGGCATGCTACCCCGGGCAACAGAGTGAGACTCTGTCTCAAAAAAAAAAAAAAAATGAAAATAATAATTAGGTTAAATAATAAACAGTAGGTAGAAGTATATTTTTTTAAAAACTCATTTTTCCAGCTAAAGTTTAATTATATAGAAGTTGATCAGTTGAAATAAACAAATCAATATTTATTTTCTCAATGTATAAGCATAATGTAAATTACTCTACCCCAACAAAAATTAACCCAACAAAGAGAAAAAGTTATAAAACCCATTTTTACAGTCTGGAATGAAGCAGTCCTCTAGAACTCTCTGCAATGGGCAGGTTCTTCATGCAACTATTGAGGAATTTAAGTGGGGAGAGTGTAACTGAGAAAAGGAATTTTTAATTTGTTAATTTTAGCTGATTAAAATAGCTGCCTGTGGCCAGTGGCTACTGTAATAGACGACTCACTCCTAGAAGTTTTCTTCTCTTAAATATAAAACTTTATAGGAACAAAAATGTTTTAAGAAATCTAAGGTGAAACAATGTTGTATCTAAGAGCCATTTTAAAAATACATAACATGTACATAAATATATTTTAAAACTCATATTTTTGAGTGATTGCTTTTTAAAAAGGAGTGATCTTATGTTCTCCTCCAATAGCCGCAAGGGGCTTTATTTACCTTCCTAAAAAGTCATCCTTGTCTGGGTCTTCATCAAAGAGCTCAATCTCCAGCTCTTGTCCAGGGTGCTCATAGACTAAAGCCTAAGAAAGTAATGTTAGCAGTTAATGCATTTTTACTAACAGAGTCATCTGTTGAGTTCGTGATGATTATAGTAAATGTGACCATGTGTTTTTCTACAGAAGTAAACACTTTTTAAAGCACTTTATTTTCTTGTCAAACCACACATACAGTTTGAGAGACCATGTAGTGACAGTGGCTTGTGTTTGTTTCCAGTCATCCTGGATTACTCCTCAATGGGTCAAGTTCAGCCACTGCAGAACAAGGTCACAAGACATGCCCACAGCCTGGTCTGAGGCCCGGGACAGATCAAAGTCAAAGGACATGCCACCTAGTCCTGAAGTGGCTCTATCCAGACACTCACAACGACCAAAGCCAGCTTCTCAGCACCACTCTGGACAAGAAGCGGCAGCAGGGGCTCGAGGGGCTGGGGTGGGGGAGCTGGTGGGTGGATTGTTCTGGAGAACAATTCTACAAAATACTTCAGTCTTTTAGAAATGCAAAACTTTTGATCCAGCAATCCCACCCTGAGGAGCTTTATTTGGGGAAAACTTGGCAGAGTGAAGAAAAAGATAGTCGAATTATTACAATGCTGAACTCAACAGCAGCATAGGCCTCCCTGGGTAAAGAAATGGTGGTATCTGCTCAGTGGAACTGTCATAAAAAGTCACATAAATCTCTATCCATTGGCAAGTAGACATGTCCAGGTTGATTAAATTAAAAGTTTGCAAAGCAGCGCATAATTAATCTCATTTCTGTATGTGTTGAAGTGTGCTACAAACCACATGTAACATTTTATAATTAGAAAGACAAGCTATTCACATTATGAAAAATATGTTGCCAATTATTTATGGTGACAGCATTATGGAATTAAGGTTTAAAATCTCATATGTCGGCATGACAACAATGCTGTGAGGTAGGGGGAGAAAGTAAAATACTTTTTTCTCCCTGAGCTAGCAATATGATAATACTTTTTAAGATGGGAAATTAAAGAAAGTTTAAGTGGTGGCCTGAATTGGCCATGTCCCACGTAACAGGCTGGGGTTGGACTCCAGCTGCCCCTGCTGAGGGTCCAGGCAGCAAGCCAAGTGACACCACTGGACACAGCGCATTACCTCATACACCTCGTTCCACTTTGGACTCAGGTTCTCTTTGATGACCTTGCTCTGGAAGATTTGGTTGCCGACGCGAATAATCCCATAGGGGTCTGACTTTCCCTTGACAAGCCCCTTGAGATAAGTGTCTTTTCCCTGAAGATCCTGAGCTTCAATAAAATGTATCCTTAGAACACCCTGGAAAGAAGAACCAACATTTAGACCATTCACTAGTTCTTTAATAAGAACGGGAGGTGGCTGCGTGCCTGACTCCGTCTTAAGAACTGCGTGTGTAGACGGAACGAAACGAAGACCTCCTTCCCCTGCAGTGTGTTCCAGTCGGGGAGAAAGACAGCAGATGTGCAACAGGACAGGTGACGGGTACCAGGAGAAAACGAAAGCTAGGCAGGACAGCAATGTGTGTGTGTGTGGGGGGGGGCTATTTCAGCGAGGACAGACAGGCTTCTGTCATGAAGACACAACAGAGACATGAGGAGAACGGGAGTTCCTGGCAGAGGGACTGCAGCGCTGCAGTCCTAGCATAGCACTGCACATATCGAGAAGAGGCCAGTGACATAGGCCACATGTGTCATGAAGCCACCCTAGATTCTGGTGCTCCAGTGAGTACGTACAGTGAGCAGGGACCCTGGGCTCTGGTGGGTATCTGACCTGCTACTAAGCATATGTACAGCAGTAGCTACACTGTCCAATTTTCATAACAATCCTATGAAATATTGTCATTAAACCTATTTTATAGAATAAGGAAGTGAAATTTTGAAATATGTACTATTCACAGACTCTAAACAGTCCTTTTCCTAAGATGTTGTTTTATTGATTAAAAAAAAAATTCACTCAGATTTCTTCCAAGGCAAATAAAGGTGCTAAAGTTACCTTCCAGTGGACTGGCATTTCACCTCCAAACTCTTTTAAAAAAAATTACAGGGTGATATTCCTGATTTAGTCAGCATAGGAGGACATGCACCTCTACAGATGAACACATTTTAAAAACTTAGACATTTTTGTTTGTATTTTTGTATGTCCACAGCTTCGATAATCGGGCAACATCTTTCAACGGCACTTACTCTTTAATTAAGCCCACATGGTTAAAGGCAGCTGCACCCAGATGGGCTCAGGCGACACTTGGGTTCACGTGACAGAGGAGCACGGGGTTTGTACTTGCAAAGGGATCCCTGCATGTCCAGGGATGAGAATCTTAAGGAAAAAGGACACTCTTTACTAATGCAGTGTCACATTAAATCTGTTGAATGCCAACAATATAACTAATTTGGGCACCAAAATAACTGGGGCACTGTTACTCTTAAAAAATACGACAATGTGTATACATGTTTGCTGATTTGTGCACTATTACTGAGATCTAATTTAACCAGAAAAAGTAAAAAGGTGTCAGGGAAAAGCTATCTAATTTTATTTTGGGTATCAAAAATAAAAATAACATACACACTGAAATAGGACCAACTTAGCACCCCTGTTTTAATAAAAATAAACAGGGCCTGGCCGGGCGCGGTGGCTCACGCCTGTAATCCTAGCACTCTGGGAGGCCGAGGCGGGCGGATTGCTCGAGGTCAGGAGTTCGAAACCAGCCTGAGCAAGAGCGAGACCCCGTCTCTACTATAAATAGAAAGAAATTAATTGGCCAACTGATATATATATATATAAAAATTAGCCGGGCATGGTGGCACATGCCTGTAGTCCCAGCTACTCGGGAGGCTGAGGCAATAGGATCGCTTGAGCCCAGGAGTTTGAGGTTGCTGTGAGCTAGGCTGATGCCACGGCACTCGCTCTAGCCTGGGTAACAAAGTGAGACTCTGTCTCAAAAAAAAAAAACAAAAAAAAAAAACAAAATAAACAGGGCAGTCTACATCAATGTGGCCACGCCCTGCAGACAAAGCCACCACAGAACTGCTTACTTGACTTCTGGAGTCCAAAAACCAGACAGATAGCAGAGGTGGGACCCAAAACATGAGCTGACAGCTCTCACTGACCTCCGGGAGATCACCCACTCCGGCCACCCCGTCCATGACTAGCAGAGGAATTTCATGCTCTTCACTACCAAGTCCTCATGATCTTTGCAGTTACTTAGTTTGCTCAAATGAAGGTGACTCCAACATCTGTAACTCAGCTTTGTGTCCTAGGTGCCGCCCCACTTTACAAATGAAGAAACTAAGGCCCAGCCACACCAAGCAATATGCCCACAAAAGTGAAGCTACCGCTAAACTCAAGAGCTGTGACTCCAAGGTAGTTCTGCCCTTTCTGCTTCATCTAGGTCAGCTTACATAAGGCCACTGCTTCTACAAGGCCACTCGCTAACTGACTCCAGAGGTGAGCACGTTCTAATGTCTGAGAGAAAACATACGCAAATCATTTTCAGGGTTTTCACTGTGATTGCCATGAAAAGTGGTGCCTGTTGCTAAGAGTTGTACATTTCAATGAAAATGAATGCAAACGTGCTGAGATGAGTTGTTTATGACTTGCAATAACAAGCCCTGACGACCGCCTTTGGGGAACACAGCTGTGGCACAAGAGCTCCCCCAACCAACGCCTGTGACACACTGTAAGGTTAGGTGCACACTAGTAAATCGCTCAAGGAGTGTGACAGACAAACCATCGTCACTGCATCAAGATACACGTGGCAAGTTGGCTGCTGGGAGACACTCACTAAATTACGACACCTGCACACCCAAGTGCATGACAAGGCCCCCAGTATCTGTTTGTAAACAGGAATGCATGCTAAGACACGCTTACCTTTGGCACAGGAAACCGCAACTGGGCAATCTGGACTTCACTGACAAGAGGGACGGTGATTCGATTGGGAAGTACCAGATAATTTGAAATTATATCCGAAATGATAGTGTCTGATAAACCACTGTTAGTTGGGAGGTAAAAAGAACAAACGAAGATGAGATACATTCATATCGGTTATTACCTTCAACAATAAACTTACTATAAACATGCCACATCCCGTTTACAGGATAGGAGTTGGCTAATTTCTCCAACACAGTATTTGAAACAGCATTTCAATACTTTAGCTGTGAGACCACTATGGCGACCACAAGATTGAATTTATTTTTAGAACACGAGGTAAAATTCTAGCTATATTTCATAACTTCCTAAATAACATTCCATGCATTCCTGCACTTCATCATAGATTTGACACTGAATAACTAAGATACACCTCATTTAACATAGAATATTTCAGACATATGTAAAAGTGCAGAGAATTAATATAACATTAAGATAACCATTCCATGTTTATATACATACTCAATTTTTCTGTATTGTTCATTAGGTCTTAATGAAGTAAAAGAATTTAGTTTGCTCTCTGTTCACGCATTATACAACACTTTATTTGGGTACTGAATAGTTTAGTAATTTTAAAATACTATACAGCACTGCACAGCAACTCAGTAACAGGTTAAAGGAAAAAATGTAATATATATTTCTACCTATTCTTTACAGTAAATGTGAGAATTAGTGTATATGTGACAGCACTTTGGGAAACATATATAAATGCAAGTTTCATTGCTATAGAACACCTTTACCTGAACTGCAAAGTTTTTTTTGTTTTTTTTTTTCATTTTCTTTTTTTTTTTTTTGGAACTGCAAAGTTTTAAAAGAAACATTTCTTGCCAGTACTTTTTATTAGCAGACATTAAATTAATTACATATGTAATTACATATATGCATACATCCAGTGAGACAGAGTGATAACCATTATAATTTGATGATTTACGACTGAATATCCACTGCAAGGCAGGTGGGGAAAAGATTTAAAAAATCCCCCAAACCAAAACTCACACATAACACTACTCTACTCAGGCACAGTTCAGCAAATCAGACTATTACACCTGCAGAGACTTGGCAGCTTTAAGCTAGCAGACACTGGATATGTCTTCATCAAACTGGGGTTCTTCAAAGCTTTAACTGCAAGCATATCCTTCCTCTCAGCACTTCCCTCAAAAAATACTGTTTTTGTTTATACTGAAATCTTTGTTGAGACAGGAAACCCTTTTCTTTTCTTTCTTCTTTTTTTTTTTTGAGAAAGAATCTCACTCTGTTGCCCAGGCTAGAGTGCCGTGGCGTCAGCCTAGCTCACAGCAACCTCAAATTCCTGGGCTAAAGCAATCCTTCTGCCTCAGCCTCCCTAGTAGCTGGGACGACAGGCATGACCCACCATGCCCGGCTAATTTTTTCTATATATATATATATATATTTTTTTTTTTTTTTGAGACAAAGTCTCGCTTGTTGACCAGGCTAGAGTGAGTGCCGTGGCGTCAGCCTAGCTCACAGCAACCTCAAACTCCTGGGCTCAAGCAATCCTTCTGCCTCAGCCTCCCGAGTAGCTGGGACTACAGGCATGCGCCACCATGCCCGGCTGATTTTATATATATATTAGTTGGCCGATTAATTTCTTTCTATTTATAGTAGAGACGGGGTCTTGCTCTTGCTCAGGCTGGTTTCGAACTCCTGACCTTGAGCAATCCGCCCGCCTCAGCCTCCCAGAGTGCTAGGATTACAGGCGTGAGCCACCGCGCCCGGCTTCTATATATATTTTTAGTTGGCCAATTAATTTCTTTCTATTTATAGCAGAGACAGGGTCTCACTCTTGTTCAGGCTGGTCTCGAACTCTGCCTGCCTAGGCCTCTCAAAGTGCTAGGATTATAGGAGCAAGCCACCATGCCTGGTTAGAAATCCCTTTCTCATTGAAGAATTCTTTCGTGGCGATGGTGACACCCAGCGCCTTGCCCTATGCAGCCTTTCCTGACCAGGTGGCCAGAGGCAGGTTTCCAGGGGCTCAGCTGGGGGCCCCACACTGCCCCTCACCCCACAAGGACCCCTGCGCTCCCCTGGCCCTCCAAGGAGGCAGCACCTGCACTGGCCGCTGTCCTGGGATGCCACTGTTCCCCAATGCCCTCTGGCGCTGTTCCTCACCACCGGCTCCAGAGTTGCCATCGGGATCCTCCCCTCAGCCGCCAACACTCGGCCTCGGGTGCTCACTGACGTGTGCAGAGATGTTTTAATGGGGACACACAGAAGTCACGCCCGGGACTTACACTAGAACTAGTGGGGAAAATGTTCTTTCTCAACTGAGGTGGCCGAGTTCACAGAACAGAAGCTTGGGGCTGCGCAACACAGAAAAGCCCATCTACGAACAAAGCTGCACGGAGACTCCGGCCGCCTCAGTCAAGCACTGGAGACAGCCCTGCGGCATCCCTTGGCACCAACGCCCAGCTACGCCTGAAATCCGCCAAAGAACGCCCCTGGCTTTTCCACTGCCAGAGCCAGGAAACAAGGCACTGGGACGGGAGCCCTGTGGGAGCAGCCGCGTGACCAGTATGTGCACAGCTGTGTCCAGAGCATGAAGAACAGCGGTGGCTCAGAGCAGGCACAAACACGCCTATTTGTTAGTGAGTCAATAAACTGCCTTTAAAAATATTATTTACTTATTTACCTATTTAAGACCATTTGAGTAGGGTTTGTCGCTTGAAACCAAGAACCCTAAAGAACCCTTTAACAAATCTTTTAATGTTGTGCTTTCTTTTCACAGATCTTTTAACGATAACAGTATTTTTCTATATCTAGTAAACCATGGTACCTAAAAAACATTTTTACTATGACTATGCCTCAGACTACTGGAGTCCTAATTTTTCCCTAATAATGAAACAAAATGCTTTCTAATGACCATTTTGGAGGCATAAACAAATATACAGTAATAGAAAAAATAGTCTGAAACCAAGTTTCATAATTTAATTTCTAAGCTATTTTAGGAAAAATGTATCTACAGATTAGCAAAATATCTACTAGAAACACGTGTAACTTTAGCAAATAAATAATGCATCTTAACCTTCAAATACCACGGTAAAACCAGCAAAAGCAAGTTTAAAAAGCTATAATTTCAAAACTGCCTGTTTGGTAGTGATGACAGGTTTGTGGCAAATGGTCCCCATCCGCCACTGCAGATGGAGGGACGTCAACAGCTGGATGACTTCACTCCCCGTGCAGGGATGAGCCTCAGTCTGGGGCGCTTGTTAGATACCAGGTTGCTGCAGAATAACGAAGGGGTTCGCGGGGACATGATGCAGACACCTCCAGTTCCTTCCCTCTCTCTCCTAGATTCCTGGGGAAGGCCTGTGGGCTACTCAGCCTCCCCTGATGGATCAAGGAAATGAAACTCAGAAAGGGATGGGGAACTACAGCTGGGGGAATGAACCTGGTTAGTTTTGAAACAGGTATTCACATTTAATGTCTTCCTTATTGTTTCTGAGAAATTAATAGAAACAAAATTTAAGAAATAATTTACAGGATATTAAAAGGCTGCTACTATTCTAAACTGCCAACACTGGGAAGATGCCCTGTGATGAACACGAGGCAAGTCTAGGGCAGGGCTCAGTTCAAGCACTCTGATAGCCCATCTACTTTAACTCGTCATTCCTCATGTGGGCATGAGAACAAAACCCAGCTACGCTGTCTTTCCTCATTTCCCCAAGCGCACAGCCCGTGCAGGGGGCACAGATGCACCTGGCAGACTCAGGTCTGAACCGTCCTTGTGTTAGTGCTACAACACTGAAAATGCACATCACATCGCAGCAGGCTAACCGCGGGGACCTCATGTGAGACTTACTTCAATCCAGGGATATCCAGAAGATTAGTCAGTCCTGTCCAGTTAATTTCCAAAAGCTGTTTTTTAAAAAAAGGGCAAAAATATTGAGTATCCAAACTATTTCCAATCATCAAGTCAAATGCACACGCTTTGTTTCTTTATAACAAAATGTGTTAATATACAATATTGTTCTACAACTTTCCCCCTCTTCCCAATATATCAAGGACGACTTTCCTTCTTGGTACATGTAGATCTGCCTGCCTTGTTTCCTGAGAATACCATAGTTTTCTCTAGGAAAATCATACAATAATTTAGTCACCCAGCCTTCTATACATGGGCACTTATAATACTGATAATTTCTCTTTTATTATAAATAATAAAAGTGAAATTACTTTTAGTGAACATGTCCTTGTATACACATGCAGACTAGCATTTCAAAAGGTAGGTTTTGGGGTCAAAGATTTATGTTCATTTTTAATGTTGATAGATAGTACCTATTTTTTGCCCTCCAAAAATATTGTACCAATTTACATTCTCACCAAAAGTATATGAAAATGTACCTTGTCCATACCTTCACCAAAACCAATACTAAACATTAGTTCATCTGGCAGTTAAAAACTACTTTACCACTGTTTTAATTTGTATTTCCCTATTACTGGAACATATTCTATACATTTGTTTGGCATTTGTATTTATTTATCTTAGAATAATTCCTACATAGTTAACTAGATTCCATTAAGTACATGTGGACTAGTAAAAACTACTGATTAGAAATACTGCTTTTCCTATCAAAATTGTGCATAATAAAATTACTTGGGTTTTAAATTTGTAGAAGAAATGCTAAGTGAAATTGCATGGTCTCAATTACCTATACAGTTGCATAACAAAACTGCTGAAATCCCTTTTGGAAGTGGGTGGGTGTAAATAAATATGAACTAGAAGAGTCAGGATTCTTTTGGATAGACCAAACTAAAGAAAAAAGTAACACTTTTTCTCCAGGATTTTTTTTTTTTTTAATTTTAAAATATTAAGGGAGTATAATTGTTTTTGTTACATGGATACCTTGTATAATGCTTAAGTCATGGTTTTTCTGTGCCTGTCACCAGAATAGTGTTCATTATACCCAACAGGTTAAGTTTTTACCCCTCACCTTGCCCCTCCTTCGTTCCCAATGTTCTTTATGTCTCTTAGTGCTTGTGTGTGCCCATCATTTAGCTACACTTATTAGTGAGAACATGTGGTGTTTGTTTTTCCATTCCTGAGATACTTCACTTAGGATAATGGTCTCCAGTTCCATCCAAGTTGCTGCAAAGGACATTATTTCATTCCTTTTTATAGCTGAATAGTACTCCATGGTGTATATACACCCTATTTTTTTATCCACTTGTGAATTGATGGGCACTTATGTTGATTCCACATCTTTGCAACTGTGAATTGTGCTGCAATAAACATTTGAGTACAGGTGTCTTTTTGATAAAATTACTTCTTTTTCTTTTGATAGATACCCAGTAATGGGATTGCTGGATTGAATGTTAAGTCTACATTCATTTCTTTAAGGAATCTCCATACTGTTTTCCATAGAGGTTATACTAATTTGCAGTCCCACGAGTTGTGTATAAACATTCCTTTCTCTCTCCATCCACACCAGCATCCATTGTTTTTTGACTTTTTAATAATGGTCATTCTGATCAGGATAAGGTAGTATCTCACTGTAGTTTTAATATGTATTTCCCTGATGATTAGTGATATTGAGCATTTTTTTTCACATTTTTTGGTCATTTGTCTATCTTCTTTTGAAGAATTTCTGTTATGTCCTTTGTCTACTTTTTAAAGCAACAATTTTTTAAAGATCCTGAATGACTAAGGTTTTGCAGCATAAAAGAAATGAGATATAAATATAAAAATCTGGAAGGAAAAAACTGCAAAATTAATACTAAATTTGGATTGCAAATATAGATATGTACCCATCCTTTATTTCCCCCTTTAAAAGAAATATTTTTCTAGGTCTGTCTACTGATTAGGCCCTGGCCCAGGGACAACCCAGGGGCAACCAGCACGCTCACTCCAATCAGGACCTCTAAACACATTTTCCACCAATGTAGAAAGGAGCCAGGGTTTGTAAGCGATGGCTGGTTCCAGGACTGGGGCAATCTTTGATCACTAGTAGAAAAAGTATTAGGAGAATGATGATATTATAACCAGGGATGTAAAATTGTGTGAAAAATTAGGTATTCCAAACCATCTGGCTAAACCTAGCTATTTCAAATCATATCAATAAATTTATAAGCACTGTGATTTAGGTGCTCATTTTTCTTCTGCCTTCCTCTAATGCCATTAGATGGTACTTAATAAAGACTTTTTCCTCTACAGGCATACTTCAGCGATATTCTCGGTTGGGTTCCAAGACACTGCAATAAAGCGAATATTACAAGTCATGAAAACATTCTGGTTTCCCAGTGCATATGAAAATTATGTTTATACTGTATAATCTGTTAAGTGTGCAATAGTATTGTGTCTACAAAAACCAATGTTGTCATTTCCACAATGTTCACAGCACCTTCCCCAGGAGTAGGTTCCATCTCAAGAAACCACTTTCTTTGTTCATCCATAAGAAGCAACTCCTCATCTGCTCAAGTTTGGTCATGACATGGAAGCATTTCAGTCCCATCTTCAGGCTTCACTTCTGATTCTAATTCTCTTGTTATTAATATTCTTAATGGCATCTAGAATGATGAATCCTTTCCAGAAGGTTTCCAATTTACTTTGCTCAGATCCATTAGAGTAATCACTATCTATGGTAGTTTTGCCTTATGAAGTGTGTATCTTATTTAAACAATAAGAGCTGAAAGTCAAAACTACGCCTTGATTATGGGCTGCAGAATGAAAGCTGTGTTCACAGTCATGAAAACAACATCCATCTCCTTGTACCTCTCCCTCAGAGCTCTTGGGTGACCAGCGGCATTGTCAATGAGCAGGAATATTTTCTAAGGACTTTTTTTTTCCTGAGCAGTAGGTCTCAACAGTGGGCTTACAGGAACAGGCTGAATACAGTTGGCATAATTCTGAAGGGCTCTGGGATTTTCAGAATGACAAGTGAGCACTGGTGTCAACTTGGAGTCACCATCTGCATTAGCCCCTGACAAGGGAGTCAGCCTGTCCCTTTGAAGCCAGGCACCGACTTCTCTTCTCTGGCTATGACAGTCTGAGATGGCATCTTCTTCCAATACAAAGCTATTCTGTCTACACTGAAAATTGTTGTTTAGTGTGGCCACCTTCATCAGTGATCTCAGCTGGATCTTCTGGGTAACCTGCTGCAGCTTCTCCATCAGCACCTGCTGCTGCACCTTGCACTTTCATGTTATGGAGACGGCTTCTTTCCTTAAAGCTCTTACACCAACCTCTGGTAGCTTCAAACTTTGCTTCTGCAGCTTTCCCACCTCTCTCAGCCTCCACAGAATTGAGGGGAGCCAGGGTCTGGCTCTGGATTAGAATTTGGCTTAAGGGAATGTTGTGACTGGTTTGATCTTCTGTCCAGACCACTCACACTTTCTCCATATCAGCAATAAGGCTGTTTTGATTTCTTATCATTTGTGTATTGACTGGAGTAGTACTTTTAATCCTCTTCAAGAACCTTGCCTGTGCATTCACAGCTTGGCTAACTTTGGTGCAAGCAGCCTAGCTTTCAGCTAATCTCGGCTTTTGACATGCCTTCTTCGCTAAGCTTAATCATTTCTAGCTTTTGATTTAAAGTGAGAGACAAGCAACTCTTTCTTTCGCTTGAACACTTAGAGGCCACTGTAGGGTTATTCACTGACCTAATTTCAATATTGTGGTGTCTCAGGGAATAGGGAGACCTGAGGAGAGGGAGAGAGATGGGGGAACAGACGGCTGGTCGAGCAGTCAGAACACATCATTTACTAAGTTGATTTTAACTTGGCTGTTTTATATGGACTTGGTTCCTGGTGCCCCAAAACAATTATAACAATAACATCAAAGATCACTGATCACACACCACCATCGCAGATATAATAATAAAAAAGTCTGAAATATTCCAAGAATTACCAAAATGTGACACAGAAACACAAAGTGAGCCACGCTGTTGGAAAAATGGTACTGACAGACTTGTTCAATGTAGGGTTGCCACAAACTTTCAACTTGTAAAAAAAACACAGTATCTTTGAACTCAGTGAAGCATAATAAAAGGAGGTGTGTCTATAAATACACTTTCATTCTAAATGTCCTATTCATATTTTATGTCATATTCTTATTACTTAAAAAAAAATTCTCGGTATAGTATTAATAGCATGAAGATAGAATTCCTTTATCCTGGAAGTTTTGGGAACAATAACCCTTTAAATAGTATTTGCTAATGCAGTTATCTTTCAAGAAGAATATAATGTAGAATATGTGAAATCTGTGTCACAGTAAGGTTTTACTATGCTTCCAAGTAGCTATGTGGTATTTTTGGACCTGTGGAAATATTTGGGTGAGACAAAGACTGATTTTGGAAGAGTCAGTGTGAAGCTAATTTTAGTTGGTGTTTTTGGACTTGCGAAAATAGTTAGGTGAAGTAGGGCCTGGCTTTAGCTGAGAAGGCCTGAACTATCAAGTGAATTATATTGTGGATAAAAATGTGAAAAAAAAATAGACAAATGTAACTCCTCATAGGTTATCAAAAGAATGCATAAAGTGGGCTGGGCACGGTGGCTCACACTTGTAATCCTAGCACTCTAGGAAGCTAAGGCAGGAGGATTGCTTGAGCTTAGGAATTCGAGACCAGCCTGAGCAAGAGCAAGACCCCATCTCTATTAAAAATAGAAGGAAATTAGCTGGACAACTAAAAATATGTAGGAAAAAAAGTTAGCTGGGCATGGTGGTGCATGCCTGTAGTCCCAGCTACTCGGGAGGCTGAGGCAGAAGGATTGCTTAAGCCCAGGAGTTTTAGGTTGCTATGAGCTAGGCTGACGCCATGTCACTCGAACATGGTCAACAGAGCGAGACTCTGTCTCAAAAAAAAAAAAAGGTCTATCTAGAAATCTGAAAAGTGTCTTCTTGCCTATCAAAACAAAAGATAAAA